AGGTAAGATCAATTATAAGATCTACAACAAAAAACTTCTTGCAATAGTAGATTCATTTCAAAAATATTACCATCAATTAGAAGGAACTTCTAGTCTAATAATTATTTATATAGATAATTAATATTTTATGGAAATATGTGTTTTGTATCATTACTAAGTTTGTTAGAATATTTCTTTGTCAAAATTTATATTAAATATTATTTATCAATAATATATATATATATATATATATATATATATATATATATATATTTTTTAAATGTCTTTTTAAGATGGTCCTATCGTATACCAAAAGATGAAAATGCACATTTTGATGAACAATTTTTTTTTTTTAAAGCTAAAGCAATTTCATCTTTGGGCAATAAAATCAATATTAATTATTGTTATATATTTTTTAATCAAATTCAATCAAGCATGTTTTAAAATCTTCTTATATATAATTTTAATAGTAATACTTCTAAGTTTAAATTCAAAAATAACCTTTTTCATTTTAAAGAATTCTTATATATTCCAAAAGATGAAGCTTAATTTCATGTTCTTCAAGCTCATTATGATTTTTCAACTGGAAGACATTTTAGATACAATAGAACTTTAGAATTAATCTCAATTTTTCTAGTGGTCTTAAATATAAAAGAAAATTAAAGCCTTTGTAAAATCATGTGATATTTATTCAAAATCAAAAATTCCTTGTCATTAGCCTTATAGATTTTTTCAATTACTACCTATACCAAAATTAGCTATGGTTTTTTGCTTCTATAGCTTTTATCACAAACCTTCTCATCTTAGGTTTCTATAACTTTATATTTGTGTTAGTGGATTGTTTTACTAAGATGAGGCATTTTATACTATGAATAAAAACTATCACAAGTAAAGAAATAATTAAAAAATAATTAAAAAATAATTAAAAATATTTATTACTATCATAGATTACCAAAATAATATTATATTGAATAGAGAATTCAATTTATATGAAGAATTTTAATAATTCTTTTCAAAATATTGAAACTAAACATAAAATCATTTTCAACTTTTTTTTTCAAATTGATCAATAAATAAAATATATAAATTATATTTTGGAATAATATTTGAGATTTACCATCAACTACCATCAAGATAATTGGTCAACTCTTTTGTCATTAGTAAAATTTATCTATAATAATGTAATATATTTTTTTACTTAAAATTCATATTTTTATACCAATTATGATTATCATGTCTAATTTTGTACTTCTAACTTTTAAAAAAAAATTAATTAATAATAAAATATTTTAAAAAAATTATAAGAAAAACATATAATAATTTGGCCAATAAGTCAGCTATTTATTGTACATGTTGGCTGCTTGTGGTACAAGCTGACTATATGATGCACATATAAAAATGTTTTTTGCAAGTTATATATGTTTTTTGTAAGTTGGACACATATTAAAAATTATAATTAGATAATATATAGCTTTTAATTAGATAGTATATATGGAAGCAAGAATAAAGTCTTTGTCATTCTTGTCAATATATTTCTTGTTTTTAGTTTTATTTTAAGAATCTCTAGTCTTCTTATCTTTAGTTATAATTATTCTAGTTTTAATATTATACTATTTTTGAATAATTATCTATTCTTTTCTAGTGTCATATGATTATATTAAATCTATAGATATTTTTAATTCATGTTCTTAACATATATACTTCTAATATATGGCAATATCTAAATAAATAATTAATTAATTATATTTCCAAACTTTAAATCTGAATTATTTTATATTATTAATTTAATATAAATAATTTAGATAATATTCTAGTATATTATATTTTTACAAAATCCATGTAATAGCTTTATATTCATACTTGATATTTATATATCTATATTTTTTATTTATTTTTTAATAATCTTTTTACTTATGTCTTATAATTGATAATGCTCTGTTATTATTCTATCTCTCTTTATTTTTTTTTATAATTGGTATATTATTTTATTTATTACAAATTCCATATCAGTTATCATATCTTTTCTTCAACATTAATTCATAATTGTATTTTTTTTCTTTCAACATGCTTTACAAATACACATCATTAAAATAATATAAAAACATATATTTAAAAATATATTATTTTCTTCAACCTTTAAATAATAAAAGCTTATTTTTAATATATTTCAAATCTTGTGGGGATTAATCTTTTCATCTCTATCCAACTATCTTTTTTTAATCTTTTTTTAATCTTCTAACATCTCAACTTTTTTTTATCTCTTAAATATGCATCTATAAATTTAAAGCTCAATGATAGGCCATTGCATACTTTTACAATCTTTTTGCCAACTTCAACAAGTTTATAAAATAAATTATCTTAGTATTCACAAGAATAAGTAATAAACAATCTTAAACTTTTTTTTTATTAAATTCTTTAATATTTAGTTTATATATTTCAATAGCCAAATACTCCATAGTCTTTCAATCTTAAATTATCTTAATTAATAAACTTTCACTAATAACAAATAAATTATTCATACTCATAATATTCTTGATTTAATTTTGGTTCCTTAAATTGTGAAAGCTAAGATGAATTTATTTTTAGTTAAGTATGGTTTTAGCATTTCTTATTCTTCTTTTAAATCTTTTGATATTTTTTTAGCTTAAAAAAATTCTAAGATGCGACAAGAGATTTTGTAATAATTACTATTACTTTCAATGCATTCAACAAAACATAAAGCATCATATATGTATTTCACAACATTCAATGTAGTCTTTATTATTGTGGTCTTGCCTATTCCATTCATTCCAACAAGACACAATACTTCCACTTTGTTGGCAAATAGGTTTAATATTTGTAATAACCATTTTTTTCTATCAAACACTTTTTTTTCCATCCATGTCAACTTATAGTTAGAAATCAAACCATGCACTAATATAAAAAATTAAAAGCATTACAAAATATATATAAATTAAATATAAAAATCAATGTAAAAATCTATGCAATAATATTGAACATGTTATAAAGGTATATGACTACTTAATGACTTGCAATAATTATAGATTAAAATATAGATTTTTTTTTAAATATATTTTTTATATTAGAAAAATTTTATTTGGTTGTAAAGAATTGTAAAGAACAAAATTGGTGATAAGTAACAATGATTCAATTGAAGAATAAATAGACTTTTATGAAAATCCTTTAGACTTAAAGTATTATTCTAATATAATAAATGATAAGCTATTAAAGCATTATGTTTACAAATTTAAAGATAAACTATTTGGTACTTTTGATGATGCAACCTATAATGAAGTAGAAAGTGATGAAAATCATTTACATGGAAGATTGATTCTTTCAAATGAAGAAGAATTGTTTTCAAAATATACATTATCAAAGCATGTATTATAAATGTTGAAAGATTTGTATAGTACAAAAGGTAGAAAATTGAATGATTTAGAACTACCGTTATACATAAAAAAGTATTGAATTCATAATACTTAAAGGCAAAAGATTCTATAGAAAAGTATATAAATTAAATTGCAAATGAGATGTTTATTTGCATGATATGTACATTTTTCATCATAATTTGAAGCGTCATAATATTTTGCTTAATATTGTTGAAAAAAAAGCTCATAAAAAAGTATTGGAACTAAAATCTTTTTGATTAAATGAAGTTTGCAAATATTTATGAAAGTTTGAATGCATTCAAGATTTTTTTTTATGTATAATTATTATGATGAAAGTACCATATTTTCGTGCATTAAAAGAAAAAAGTCATAAAAATATGAAATTACAACAAACATGCAAAAGATTTCTATTTCCACAAATATTTCTAATGAATGAGGTAAAAATGTGTTGAAGTGATTTGATTGATTTGATTTTATATTTTTATACAAAATTATATGCTATGGTCATGGTTATATGACATAATAGAAGTTCTATTTGAAACAGAGCTGGAAGTGACATTTTGACCTCTTACGAGGTGAAATCCTTGAATACACAACCACTGTATAAGTGGGTTATTATGGCAGCGGGTTTACAAGCTAATAAGAACAGTGCAATGGGTTTTATGCTCGTCAGCAATAGTGTTATGCTAGTGACGATCTTTGGAGTTGTTCATTGATGAATGCCATAACATGTTGGAGGTAGAGCATGGAATGACGAGGTATACAGTGAAATTTGCTGACACCGATTCCATTTTCGCATTGCCGCAAGAGTAGGACCCTTGGAGTATTCGCTCCCGTTCTTTGAGGCATTGTGGTGGTGAGGTTTAGTGATTTCTTTATTTTTTTTGTTGTTTCATTTTTATTATAATTTGCTATTACACCAATACATTGAATTATAAGATGTTTGAATTGTCGCTATCTTCTTTCTTCAAATTTGTCACACAAAGTTTGTGCTAGTTGTCGATTCTTACGATTAAGAAAAGAAGTCCATTGAGGAGATTGATTTGTGTTCTGTTATTTGTTGTGCTGAAGTAAAGAGGGTAAGGGTGGCAAACTGTACTTGTCATGGCCAGGTTGCAACTATTTTAAGGTGTGTTACAGGTAAATAAGTAATAGATACTATAATATGGAATCTTCTCTCACTCTAAACACTCTATTATCCATATTGTTCATTTCATGTATTTGCAACCTCCTGCTAATTTGTAAGTTTACATGCAGAACATTCCAACTATTTCACAATTTTCGGTTCCTTGCTGTCCCCTTTCATATATGATTTATACCTGAATACCTGAGGTGGTTGTTTGTACTACTTTTTATTGCCGTGCCTGAGGTGACAAATCATTGCTGCAGCTCTCATCCTAAGAATAATGCAAGGAAAGTGAAAGTTGATATGACATCTGTGGTATATACAGTTGTCCCCCTACTAGTTGATGTCATCAATTAGCAAAATATTAATTAATTAAACTATTAACTGTCAGAGGTTATTACTTAACATAACAACAAACAACAATAGATACTTAGATTCTAACTGGAGTCAGCTCTCAAAATTTTGATTAATTATTGGGGGTTATTAGTTCATGGGGGACAACTGTGTGTGTACATATAGTTAAATAAATAAATAAATAAATCAGGATCTTAGTACTTCATCTTCTTCCTGGTATATTGTGCTTCCTTACAGCACCGTCCAAGTGACGAATTGCCATAGTTTAGACTGGGTCATAGCTATCATTGCTGGCCTTAGCGGTAGTACAGATTTTGTGTCTTAAAATACTCTACTTGAGATGCTAAACCAAGACTAGCTTAGTACTGCGATCCTGTAATGGATCACGGTAAATTGGAGCTCAAAAATGTGAGAGGAAGAAGCCAAGAATGGCACCAAGATACCCATTAGAAACTGCCTGATTTCCTTGCTGGGCTCCACAATAACCTGAAAAGTTGAACCATGGTTTCGAATTGGACTATTCATCCCTCTTAAACACTTTAGATCGAAAGAGCTCCAGATTAAGATCAGGACGTGTGAACTGATGGCTCTCTGTCACTGCATTCGCAAGGCATACACATTGTGAACATCATGAACAATCACGAGCGGCTTTGACAAGAGCAGATGTCATACTAGTAAAAGAACTTTTGCATTTACAATGTATGCAGCGTATGAAACTAATTGAACGGATCCCACTGAACCTCAAGAAACACTAACACAACAACCAAACAACTAACACAAGTTTATGGACTGATCGGTTACCTGAAACCATTTCCATCTGCTGATCCCACTCCTCAAGCGTCTGGAATACGGACAGCAAAGGAGTGAATTGCAATTGACAGAGGATCTTACATGCAAATAAACTCGAGGAAAGTAGATAGACCTCTGACAACGTAAGTAGCTCTAATAAGGCATTGCGATGATTCAGTCTTGTACCTTCACAAAGGACGAGTAGACTGGATCCTCTGAGTCACTACTCACAAGAAGACCAGCTCGAGCCTGTAATTGACATAATAACGTCTTGTTTTTCACCAGTGTAGTTCTTGCAGTATCTATAAGATCCTGCATATTACAGTGAATGCATGTTATGTAGTGCTTGAAGCAATTTGATCGGCAGTAATGGATGCATAGCTTTCACTCTCAGAACGAATATGGATATAATTTTCCTGAGCGTATAGCGCAAACTGATGTTCGAGGTACATTTAACACAAGAAGAAACAAATAGCGATGATTTCGGTAATCGCTGTGACCTGTTTGGCAGCTAAAAGCTTGTCACATTCTTCTCTAAGCAGCGGAAGCTCGTCCTGCAATCTTTTCGTGCGAGCAAGCAACTTCAAGGGATTTGCCTATTCGCATGACATCAAGGAGAATAATTGTTAATTGAAATATTACTGTGTAAGACTACTAATTAACGAGGGCAAGTTAGACTGAATGAAATGCTACTTACATTGCCTGGGTAAGTTTCTTCAAACTCGTGTTCCAATTTGCTATGCACGATCTGCAGGTTTGGATCATTGCAAAACCATCAGAATTAAAATCACTATAGCCACTAAGAACAATCGCAATACGTCTATTGTAGTCATCGTATACCATTACATCTCCCAGAATCAGACTAACTCGCAAAGAATTTCTTCAGAAAGCAAAGGCTCGCTAGGCCAGACGTCCGAATTCGTTCGCAGCACAAATTTAAAAGAGCATCCTCGAAATGCGAGTGCAGATATTTACATGACATCTGATAAAACAAAACAAAAACCTGGAATCCCAACCAATTCCTTACACTCATCCAGCTGCACAAACTCCAACTGAAGAAAAACTTCAAGTGAGCGGTCTTCCCTGTGCTAAAATTTTCCAAACGGAGAAAGCACAGAAAACCTGTAAAATAAGCCGTCCGCCTTGGCAAAATGGGCATCCAACGTCTTTACCGCGCCTTGAAAAGCACCATCCATGACGTCAAATCTTTTCTCCATGCTCGGCAATCCCCGTCCAACACCTCCAGACAGTCACGCCATCAACTCTAAGTTCGAAGCAATCCAAATCCCTCTCATGCTACTTTCTGGCACTCCATCACCACTAGATGTCTCTACCAAAATCTTCCGATGCAAACACTGAGCTCCGTAGAAAACATACACTGCGAATCCCGCCTCCAGATTTCAAATCCGTGACCGAAAACAGATTCATGCCTCGAAACGAAGCGGCATCTACGATGAATGACTTCGTTATGCGGTGGTTCTTGGATGTAGCGGTCATAGGACCTGGTGTGGTCGACCGCGCGGAATCTTGCCACCGCAACCAATAACCTTGAGACCGATCAGAGCCTGGAACCGAGAAGGGGGGGAGGGGAACGGGAAACGGGGAACGTTGAGAACGTTTCAGCCGTTCCGAAGACGTCGAGGGTCATAGAGCTCAGCCCAGAAAGTGGAAGTTGAGGGGGGTGCTTGCAGAGTCAAGGCCCTGGTTTATGATTTTGGAATTAGGGTTGTAGAAAATTGGGAGCTATGGCGGGTGCACTGGTCAGGAAATCTGGGTCGCAGTTCACCTCTAATGGCGCTCGGGCTTGGGCTGCTGCATTGCACCAGCAAGAGGGGCATTTTCTGGGCGATGAGTTTGATTTGGGATTTGGAAGTGGCAGGGTGCGGGAGTCGTCGTCTTTGGCGGTGTCGGGTAGTCATCGGCCTGTGAAGAGAGGCACGGGCGGTAGATCATCCGTGAGGTACTGTCACTTTTTTTTTTTTTTTTTTTTTTTTTTTTGGTGTTTCGTCTCCATTTCGCGGGGCTACCTATGCGGGTGGAGCGGATCTCGGCACCGGAGGGTTTTGTAAATGAGGATGTGCATATGGGGCAATAATTGAGATACTTACGGTGGGATTATTGCAGTGGAGTCGTCGCTACAGTATTTGGAGCTACTGGATTTCTAGGGCGTTATGTGGTTCAGCAACTTGGTACGTCCTCATTCCGTTGATTTTGAGGTATAGCATTTGCCGAGCTTCGAGGTAGTTCGTCGAACGGGTTTCTATTCTGTTGCAAAATTTTGAACGTTGTGCGGATACTGTAATCCGAGACATTGGTTGATAATGTGAAATGGCAAATATTGGATCATTAGTTAAAGCAAACATAGGTCATTTTGGCAGCAAGAATGGGGTCCCAAGTTATGGTACCTTACAGAGGTTTGGACGAAGAATGGAGGCATCTTAAGCTCATGGGAGACCTCGGACAGGTGCTTACCCGATCAACATACACCAACAATGCCCTAAGTTCCGAAGTTTTATTCTATTCTGTTGCGGAGCTCGTTTAATGCTGACCTCCATGGTCTTATTTATGTGCACGTGAACGACTTAGAAGTAACTATCCTCTAATGAGTGTGTCCCTTTTTTGGTGGAGGATTTATCAGATTGTGCCCATAAAGTATGACGCCAGGGATGAGGACTCTATCAAAGCAGCTATTGCCAACTCCAACGTAATTGTGAACTGCATTGGTAGAAAACTCTTGAGCCTACCTTCGATTGAATAATGCTCGTCAGATTCTTTGGAAGCATAACTGTACTCAAAGGATGTTATGACATTGATTAAGATCTTTTGAGACTACCGTTTCCCCGGCTGAGTCGTAAGGTCTCAGGTGTTTTGTTATTCATGTAACTGCAGGAAAGGAGTACGAGACACGGAATTTCTCCTTTGATGATGTCAACTATGGAATTTCGAATCGTATTTCAAAGGTATCATTTTATGCTACATCCATAAGTTTAGTACTATTTGATGGCATCGGTAGTTAGTTATCCGATTACAAATTGTAGTTTTGGTCAAGATTTCAATGTTTTCAACTTCACATTGAAGCTGGAGCATTCATGATTAATAGCAGTACTAAGTAACATTTTTAATTTCTTGAAAAATACTGTTGACGCAATGGTATTGACTGATTAAGTTTATTGTGCGACAGTTGGCTAAAGAGCATGGTGGCATTCTCAAGTACGTACAAATGTCATGCCTGGCTGCGGATCCTCATTCTCCATCAAGGCTCATCCGTTCTAAGCATGCTGCTGAAGAGGCAGTTATGCAGAACTTTCCTGAGGTGCGGCTCGCACCTTGTGCAGAATATTTTTAGTGTTACATTTTTAACTTCAATTTCTAATTTCTATACGTATGAAACAGGCAACTATCTTGAGGACAGCGCCTTTGGTTGGTGTTGAGGACCGTTTGCTGAATCGATGGGCCATCCAAGCTAAGAAACTTCCTTTTGTCCCCATACCAGGAGATGGTCTGAGCAAGTAATCCTCTAAAATCATTATTTATTCATTCTTTTATCACGATAACTTATTAGTGTTATTTATCCATTTTTTGCTGTGGTTGCATTTGCCCTTCTTGCGCTTGGCCTTGCCTGATAGCTTCGTGAATGTCTAGGATGTTAAGAGATAGTGCTGAATTTCAATGCGTATGGCAGGTTGCAGCCTGTGCTTGTAGTTGATGTAGCTGCAGCAGTCATTGCCGCCATCAGAGACGAAGGTTTCAGCATGGGCAAGACGTTTGAGCTAGGAGGACCAGATGTTTTCACAGTCAATGAACTTGTAAGGAAATTGACTTGATTCCCTGTGAAGTCTGTTTTTTTTTTTTTTTTCTACTTGCAACGAAATGGCATATGTAGTTGATATATTTGCGTTGCAATCCATCTTACAACTCCCGTGCTCATTAACTACAGGTTGCGCTGATGTTTGAGGCAATTCGTGAGTATCCGCGTGTCGTACATATTCCTATGCCCCTTTGTCAGGTATGGTTTGTGAAGTTGTTGATTTTGCATTATATTCAAATTTTTCAGATTTCCTATTAGGAGGAGTAATTGTTCACTTCGATTGGTGGGTAAGAGTTTAAAGTATAGTCTCTTCCTATTTTCAGATTGCTGCCATGCCTAGAGAGCTTGCAATGAAGAGAGGAATTCCCATCCCTTTTTCACCATCATTTTCGAAGGATTACCTGGACCAATTGGCGTGCGACCTCATTGTCTCTCAAGATGGTATGTTTGAAAGTTTTATTGTTTTTTGCCTTAGTTTACTTTACATGTTTGTGCTGATTGTTCCTTTACAAAACCTTCGAATATTATATGGTACGTGGCTGCAAGATGGTGCTTGCATCTGGAGTCTTTAGTGTAAACAAGAAATATCACTGTACCTCAGTGTTATTGTTTTTATTTTATAAATTATTTCTATGCAAACTGATCCTTGATTCGTGTTTTTCTGGTAATAGCAATGGGTTTGGCAGACCTTGGCATCACATCTCACAAAATCGGGGGTCTTACCATCGAGCATTTGAACGCTTATCGGACTGGTGGCCCGTCAGTAGGCACAACAGTGGGTGAATCAGTTCACGGAGCTGGGTTTTGATAGGCACCTGTGCTCACTAAATCTTTTCAATAAACAGTCTGGTTTGTGCACCTCCTAATTTTTTTTGTTCTAAAGCTTGCAATGTCCTGAAAACAGGAATATCTGTGTATATCTCGCTCGTTTGGTGGCTATTATTAATTGATGTATTGATATAGCAAATGGTTCTTGTACTTGACTAGGCAAAGGAGGGCCAAACTGTTGAGAAAGTAGTGCAAATGGAAGTAGAACACGCTGACCGTGGTTTAAGTTCTTATGTCTTAACCTTGGTATTTTGCTGCCTTCAGCTGTTTTCTACAATATTGAGAACAGCCCTCCCTGTACTTGAATCACACCAGAATTATCGAAATGAAAAAATACTTGAGGACGAATTTGGCTGCTCATCAAGCTATCTTAAAATTAGGAACACTAAAATCTGTATTTAGAAACATGCGTGTTTTTTGTTACCTCGAAACGTCACTGGTTATAACTGCTTCACCACTTTTTTCTAGAACAGAGATTAAGTCAGAAGTTTACCACGCAATTGCGCTGCATGACTCTACATCTATTATCTACTGATGCAAGTGCGAGATTGAAACGTATATAGATTCCGTACCCTTAAAAACTGCGAACCCCTTTTAGAACTTCAGTCACACACGCCTCACTTCACAATGTGAACAGGCGTTGCACTACGCATTGACGAAACCCTCTATTGCTCCTTTCTCAATCCCTCTATCCAAATTCTAACCCGTCTATGAAAAGGAAAAATTGGAACTGCAGATGAATACGGCAACAACTGGAACTCTCTTTCTTTCCATGCACTTGTCCAAGCACGTGTGAGTAAACTTGCAGAGCTTCAAATGGTCAGCTTTCCACACTCCCTCTCGAGATACATCGGAGAAGTCGCAGTTTTACTCCCAAAATCAAAGTGCAGGAACAGAAAGAGCGATGCGGTGCGCCAAGCCACAACCTTACCTGTTCCCTGTGAACAGTGATGCCATAATTTTTGGTGATCATGGCGATCCACTGCAACGTGAAGAACGAGTGACGCTCAGGGGTCGGGAAGTAAAAGAAGAACTTGAGTAAAGCTCTGCGCAGTGGCAATACGTAGTGTGTATCTTTGCGTCTCTTTCCGAGTGGTCTTGCATTAGTGATGCAAGTTCAACCCACTACCATCGTTACGACGGTTTGTCTCACGCGAAAGGGCAAAGAACTTTGGCTTTTGTGACACTGCTCAAGTCCATCTGGGGATGCAATGGCCCCAGGACATAAGCGAGTTGAGTGCAGAATCATAATTTTTTCCATCTATTTGCCCATATATCATGCGAACTTTCTGCGTATCGAGACTAACGTCGTCCGATGTCTCGACAAAGAAATCGCAGACAAGATGGCAGCTGCAATTAAAGTTAATATCAACGATCATGGTGAAGGCCTCTGTTGCTTCGCAGTGCATTGCCAGCAATAGACCCCACTAGAGATGCTAATGTTCGTGTGAGTTGATGTTTCAAGCACAAGCTTTCATGTGTCACTTCGCTGTAGATACCTACTGAGTTCGGATATTGTAAACATTTGTACCGACACGTTTCCCATCTTACCATGCCTAGATTAGATACTGCGGATGCTTTCCAGCACATCACCTGTGCTGGTGTTTTCTCGTAACGTGTGAGCATAATAATACCGTCACGCGCGACGAGGAAACCGAGCTACACAAGCATACAGATAGTACGACACCGGTGCCCGGTGAGCAACGAGGATATGTACTCAAAGTAAGGACGCCCACGCGAGTCCTAATTTGAAAACTGCCTGTGCAACCTCAACAGCTGAAGGAGAATCTAAATTAAGCCGAAAGATTGGCTAATGGAATAAAAAATAAAAATTATGTACAAATCCTTGCCATCTCTCAAGATCAGGTAATAGGCATTCGACTGCACCACAAATGATATCCAAACTCAATTATATAGGATCAAGAAGCATCAGTTGGAGGGGCTCTGTCCTTCCGTCTGGAATCTTGTCTTGAAAGTTCTAATTTCGAAAGAGCATAGCCTTCCAGAAGCCCTTGTTCTTCATCGCCTTCTTGCTTTCGAGGTGACAGCGGCAATGGTAGCTTCTTAGGCTTTGTGGTAGTCTGCTGGTACAGAACACCTCCGAAAATTGTGACCAGAAGACACACCAATCCGGGAAGGCTGGCATGCTTGTCCCAGATCAAGACATTGATCACCACTGTGAGGAGCTTGTTCACAACGCCGGTCACTGTGAAGGCAGTGGCGGAAATAGCTTTTCTAGCAGCGAATCCAAAGAAGCTGATTGCCAATCCGAACACGCATGACAAGGTGATGGCAATTATTGTGACCGTCCGGTGTACTGGTGGGAAACTAGCATTCGCGATGTCGTTGTACTCCCCCATAGCGATCCAGAAGAAGGGGGAAAGCATGAGCGAGAGGAGGTTGTTGTACAGAACAAAGCCCCATGTGTTGAGCCCCAGGTCTGTCACCATGTGCTTGATGTAAACCATCTCTGTGCAGATGGTCGCGAGGTATGCAAAAGCCCAAGTGTACGCGGTCACCGTAAAGGAGGAGTCGGTGAGCACATACCCCACCGCACCCGCAAGAATTACGAACAACGATGCGAAAGTGGGCACCGAGGGAAGTGCTTGCTTGCGGAACAGAGAGTCCGCGAGGGCGACGAGAAGGGGCGTCGACGATCGGAACACGATGAAAGTGTCAACATTGGCGTGCTTGAGCAGGTTCGTATTGGTGAAAATTGCGAGATAGAACACAAACGCCGCCGGCAGAAACTTCTTGGCTGTGGACCACACGAACGCGTCGTGTTGGATAAGCCCTATCTTCCCCGCGACCCACACTCCCACCACACTCGTCACATACTGAAGCGCTGTGAGCAACCCCGGAAAGGGGAAATAGGTTATGGCATACTTGTTAATCACTGCGAGCAAGCTCGAGCACAGACCATACCCTGCTACGACAGTCACCACCCCTAAAGCACTTGACTCTCCCTTCTCCTTCATTTCATCACACACACACACACACACTTCACTTTCTTTCTATTTCGGCTTCACACCCTCTACCACCTCACTCAAAACATGGGTGCCGCCATTGTCACGATCATCTTCCACTCTCACCCAATTTCACATTCCCCACCAGATTATTCCCAATTCCGACGCTCCATCGAAAGTCCCCTGCAACGATTGTTCATGTTCTCTCGAGTAGAATGTCGCTCCCACCCTAAATAGACCTGTCTACCGCGAAGACGCATGCAATTCCAACAATCAGCCAGCGCATTCACAAGGTGAATAATCAAACACACACGAGCTGTGGAAATGATGCTGGGGCGAATTGATAGAGCGAAAACGAGACAATGGGTGTCGGAGAGATAGAAGAGCTGGAGCCGGCACTTCAAAGGTAGCACGGTGATAGATTGATCCCTTATGGCCGCTGGTTGAGCCGTGTTTCACCGCCCATAATGGCTTTATCTACCACCGCTGTTACCTCTATCACCGCTGCCATTAGCATCCCCACCCAATTCGTTTTTGGGGGGGGGGCCTCTTCTCTTATATACTTTCTTCGTGAATTTCATTCCCTTTTTTTTTTTGGATACATACCAGTATGCAACTCCTTCTACTTGACTTATAAAAGCTGTTTCTTGTCAATAATTCCAAATAAAGCAAGTGTGATAAGTTTGTGTTGTGTTTGGTATTTTTTGAGAAATTTCCAAAATTGGCCTAACATTACATTTTGAAAAATCAATGCTGTTAAATGGATGAATATAGTAATGGTTGACTTGTAAAGCTAAAGCAAATTAATACAAGGAAGAGTGTTGTTGCAAAGTTTCATTATGTTTTACTGCAAATTCTAAGATGTATGAAAATAAAAATAAAAATTAATGATTTATGTTTAATATCAATGGCCGTTTCAAAATGTGAGGGACGATTACGTGTGAGTTCTTACATCTCGATAAAGGAATGCAATCAGGAAATTGAATTATATTTTTGTATAGTTCTCAGATGATTTTTGGTCTTACTTATGTTACTACCACCAACATTTCAATTCACAAAATTTAATTTAAGTAACACTTTTATGTGTAAGAATTCGATATTTTTGAGCAAACTGATAGTAAAAACAAATGTAAAAATGCAGGTTGTAGTAGTTATTTTTTTTCTTTTTTCTTTTTTCTTTCTATCACAGTTGAATTTTTTTAAAATTTTAAAGTCTTGTAAAAAAATAATATAATAAAATAAAATAAAACTAAGACTATAAATGATTATCGGAATGAAAAAATATTCATCTTGTGAATTTAAAAATTATTCCATGGTTACACAAGATTTATGCATAGAAGAGTATGTTAATTACAATAATTCAAACATGCCACCGGAAAAAAAAAAAAAAAAAAAAAAAAAAACATATCAGTCATGATATTAGAATTTTTTAATAACATCATTAAAATAAAATGTTCAATATATATATATATATATACGAGAGTTGCTAAAGCAGCACCTCCATGTTGCTAACCCAACATCCTTTTGGATTCTTATAATTAATTCAATATATTCCTTGTCCCCATCCCCCATCCCTATTCTCAATGTTCATCTCTTGTTCCTATTCCCATTTTATAAAAAATAATATACAATTATCAAAGCAATTCATGGGTTTTACTTGGAAAACCAACTTCAAATCCAAAAGACTTTAGCCATAGATTTTATACATGATGTATATTTCAAACCACTTGCACATTTCATATTTAAATTCATTTTTTAAAGATTTTACATGTCTACAATTAAGTAATCTAGTAGTGTTTAAAATAAAATAAAATGTATTATCTTTTGATTGAAATTTGAAGATTGTAGTGCAACATCAACAATATTTTAGTTATAAAATATTTTTATATAAAAATAAAATAAAAATAAAAATATCTCTATTAAAACAAGAAAGAATTGGGACAAAGGACAAGGGCTAGAAATGGGAGACTAGAGACATGAAATGGGGATGGAAAGGTTGTAGACTAGGGACAATAGATAGGAATTGGGGACATGAGATAGATCAAATTAATCATGAGAATCCAAAGGGGTGTTGCATTAACAATATAGGGATGTTACTTTAGCAACTTCCTATATATATAAATACACACACTATTATAATTTATCATTATTTCCGGGAAAAACTTGATTATGATGATAGTTTTTTCAATCATTTTATAATATAATATATATAGAGAAAATATTGGATTTTATAACATGAATTGTTAGTTATTATTTTTTAAAGATTTTTTTTGATTGTTTATGAATTTTAATAATTTTAATCATCTTATTATTCTAAAAAATTTATAAGGTTTTAATATATTTCAAGTATCATTATGAAAAAAATTGATTGAATAAAATTCAAAAACTTTACAAACCACATGGTAAACAATCTTGTGAAACATATACTATAGTGTTGGATAAAGAATAATCAATAATGCAAGACCAAAAAACAAAAAAACTATAAAAAATTATAAACTAGATATTAAATTAGAAAAGTATATGTAAACAAAACAATACTTGAATTGCTCTAAAACTTGTATAAGCAAGACCAAAATAATCTGTCTTCCTCTCTTATTTATATCATAAAAACTAGGTTCTATGAAAGCTTTTGGATGAAGTTTTACAAGTTACAAAGTATTCTAGAAGTATAAAATGTTTCAATGGAAACTTCTAGAAGCATATAAAGGTTCCAAAATATATATATATATATATATATATATATAGTGTATAAAACATTATAGATTACATCCAAAGATAAAATATGATTAATAATATAATACAAATAATTAAACATATATATGTGTGTATATATATATATATATATATATATAGTTTACGTCATGAATATTGTGGTACCGTGCCTTGACTATTTTGATAATCTTCAAAGTTGGTCATTGGTTGTGTGAGAGTGGATAAGTAAAGAACAATAGATCTAATGGTGGCAAAGTAATTTTGTAGACTCAAACAAACTGATGAGATGATCAACTGAGAGAGGGACCAAAATAACCAAGGAGGGAGAGGTATACAAAAAATAAATGTGCCCTTTTTACTTGATATACATGAGAAATATTTATTTTATTTGTAGTTTATAATTTTTGGTGAGATTGTGTTTTTATCTTTAAATATAAAAAATAATAAACTAGATTACTTGTTTGTATTATTTTTAAAAAAATTATAAACTAGATATTAAACACTTTGTATTATTTTTTATTGTTTGTACTTGTTCAAAAAACTGCAGTGTTTAAAAAATAACACAAGTAAGTAAGAGCACTTTGAAACTACAACAGAGATGACAAACATATTTTAAAACAGTGATTGAACCATCCACAAAAATATATATATATATATAAACAACCCTTGTAATTTTAGTATATCGTGTTTCTGACAATGCATTGATTTTGCTAATTCAATGCATTAAACTTTATTTACGAAACAACACAGATTAAATTTATTTATATTTAGTCTTAACTATTATCAAAAAAAATATATATATATATATATATATATATATATATATAACTAGAAAAAATCGTTTTAAAAAGCAATCTAAGAATTACATCAAATGTAGATCTAATTATGTAATTGATTCAATTCATGAATAAAAGTTAAAGATACCAAACTTCAGATTAAAACTAATTCACTGTTATTTAAGGCTATTATTGTCAAACCATTTGATTTTAATTCTATTGGTAATGGAATGTTTCAATTGTTTGTTTTTGGTTTTTTTGGTTTATTTTATTTTATTGTATTGAAATCTGAATTCAACAATATTACATATCATCTCAACATTTATTATTTCTAATTGACAAAATACTTGTTGACCACAAACGATATTAGAATTTATGCACAATCTTTCACATCCACTACTCACGAATATTTAAGAAGTGAAATTCCTCTACAAAAAACTTAGAAATACGTCATCAAATTTATCATCTTTATTTATTTATTTACACACACACATGTATGGCACGGTGTTACAATCGGAATATGGTCAAGCATCGTTTATTTAACCAGCCTACCCGGTGCCTGCCCTAGTCTGAGCGGGGACCAGAAACGGGCAGCGGCGTCCTCGGGGTGGATTATTAGGGTTTTATGGAGGTTTTAGAGCTTTGAGCGCCTCTCTGGCGGAGCACTTGCTGTGTGCTTCCGAGGAGAACGCTGTCCCTTGATAGCGTGAATTGTTGTGGAGGTCTGGATTTGGTAGAGAAAATCTTCCATCATGTTTAAGCGGCAGTTTTACGCTGTCGATCATGCGGACAATGGACAAGATTCGTCGTCAGACGAGTCCGATTTAGGCACCTCTGATGACGACTCTGATGAGGAGAATGAAGAGGTCGCACAACGTAGCGGTGGCTCGTCCGATGATGAGGCAGCTGCGAGTGAAGAGGGTTCGGACGTGGACGAGGACGACGATGATGAGATGCGAGACAGTGAATCTGAGGATGAGGAGTGGAGTGCTTTTCGAGATAGGAACATCAAAGTAGTTCAACCAATCGATAGTAGTTATTTCTTGTCAAAGAAGTCGGCTGAGGCTTCGGTAGATGGCAAGGAGCATACCAAGACGGAAAACGTTGAAGAACCTGTTGGAGATGGCGTAGTTTTACGAATTAGAGGAGTTCTGAAATGTCGGCTTTGTGTGAAGGTCCTTTGTTTATCTGATGAAACAATGAAGGCGCATTTGCAATCGAAGGTTTGTGACAGTTTTCGAAGTTGCTTATTTAGTTTCTATTAGTCCGCTGTCCTGCGCTGGATGAGTTTTATAGTCATAATATTGTGTGCTGAGCCCTAAGTTTTTTGTGCTGCCTTGGTGTACTGCTGCCTCAGCGCCACGCCAAGTCACTTAAACGTCTCGCAGCTGGGAAGCTTAAAGTTCAATTAAATAGTGATGGAGAAGAAGAGGATGAGGCAGAAACTCACTCTGAGCGGCTTGAGCGCATTCGTAGGGTCGCTGAGGTGAGTAGGTGCATCCTACAATGGATGAAGAGTCTCTCGCTATTCTTCCTCTCAATTCTTGATCATGATCTCAGTAGAACGTGTGTTGTTTTAGACGAGTTCCTGATTTCGACTCGCTGTTTTAGGAAAAGGTAGAACCTGTAAAGAGTGGAGCGAGCAGCGGTCGAAGAAATCGAAGGAAACGCGCTAAACTCAAGGTATCCCGCTCACACATGTTGTATGTCCTAAGGTGGACGAAGTAGAAATGGTCGTTTTCTTGACAGAGAGCGTCATCTGTTGTATTTATTTTTCTATTGAAAGGTTTGTATGGCTATGAGGAAAACAAAGGCCGATCTGACTAGCTGCCCGGGTTCTTACGAGCTGACAGAAGGTGGCATAGTGCTGTAAGCTATCAGTCAAAGGTTAACTGAGCCAAAAGTTGAGGTTCAGTCATTGTTGGCAGCTCGTTGATATCTCTCTTGTGTTTGTGTCTATAATGTATTTGACCTGGACATTGCAGACGGATATCGCAGTTTGTGTAGTCTACATGCAATCTTGCTATCCCTAGATATATGGGTTTGAATTGAGGTTTCGTAGCTTGTATCTGACAGATTGTCTGTGCCGGATTGGTAAATTTATACTTTTTCCGTTCATCGATTGTTATGTTTTTTACTCTTCGTAGAAGAAAAAGGTGTTTTCTGAGTTTTAAAGTGAATCGACATCTGGCTGTACAGGCGTCCTCATCCATCGAGTCTTCAGCACTGACGACTGAATCTACTCCGACTGCGGAAACACCTAAAAGTAATAGAAAGGCCAGGAGGGTTAAAGGAATCGCGAATGGCTCAGACAAGAAACCGCCCAACCGAACTGAAGCTCCTTCGAATGCGGAAACACCCAAAAATAATAGAAAGGCTAGGAGGGCTGCAATGTTCGCAAACGGCTCGGACAAGCAGGCAACTGCAGCCTCTCCCATTGTTGCGAGTACCGTGAAAGTGTCTAAAGCTGTTGAAATACCTAGCAGTATTAACAGTCCGAAGGTGACGAATGCCTCCGATAAGAAGTCTCGTGATGAGACCAAAGCCGTGCATGCCCCAAAAGCTACATTGAAAGGACCCAAAGTTACAGATAGGTCGAAGAATACTAACTCTCTGAACGGATTATCCACCTCTGTTACCGGTGTAAATCGAAGTGTAAAGTATAAGAAAAAGAATTCTGAAATTCTAAAGAAAGTAGAGTCGAAGAGGCGGGGAACAGTAGCGTGAGGTAGTTGGGGTGCTTAATCCAAATTTTCTTTTAGCATGTTTTTATTATACATTTTTGTTCTTTGTGCTTTGGCCTGGAACCGAATGTAGTAAAATTTCTATAAACAATCAGTCTTCCGCATCGACTGGGTTAGGACTCGGTTATCTATGAATGCACGGCATTAACTGTTGATATCTTCCCCCACCACGTTCTCGCACAGGTGCCTCTATAAACACCCAATTTGTGGGCAGGTTTTGACCCCTTAACACCATTGTTGGAGAAGTTGTAGCATTTTCGTCATGACCATTGTTTAGTTTTGATTACAGTTCAATGTTACTTTCGAGTATTAAGTTGCCCCAATCCGTTGCCATGTACACCTTGTAGCGAATACGAAAGAATGTTTGTATAAGAAATGTTAAGAAACTGTAAAGTTACACACGGTCAAAGCAAGGATTCGAAATGTGTTGGGAGTGACTTGATTAGTTTGATGCAACAACTGCGTTGACAAGATCGCACATGGTCTCCATGTAACTTTTAAGAATGTTTTAAAATTCTGATAAAAAGTTATAGAGTTTCTTTCAAACCAAGACTGAAGTTAACAGTTTTCGAAAAAAGTAAATGTCGATGAAATAATCGTTATAAGGTACGTTGAACTGCCTAGGAATATTTTGAGCTATCTCAAGTGCATATCGCTCTTAAAACCACGTAAAAAATTGTACAAATCATCAATTTCAACAAAATACTTGCATACCGGTGTGATTTTTCAAGGCTTCAATTATTTTTTATTCATATAATCACATAACTCGATGCTGCCAGAATCTATAGATATCATTCTACTTCTTCACCATTCCCAGTTGAGCCGCTAGAGCATCTTCGTCCATGTCAAAAAATGATAGAATCTTTCAGATAGTATTAAACACCCAAGCATGAACAGTTCCAACCACCTCAAGGAAAAAACGAAAAAAATAAAGAATAAAAGATAAATTGGAAGCACCGCTCTGTTTCCTGAATTCATCAGAGACATATAATTAACGAATTCAAGGAGAGAGGGGTAGATGTTTGCGGATTGAATCCAACGTAGTGCATCCACAAAACTAGAAAATAGAAGTTCAAATTCAATGACAATGAAAAGCACATGAAGAGTGTGCTGAGCCCACCTTCGCCACACACTGGCTATAGAAGCTGATGCGTGTCCATCACCATAGATCTAAGTCTTCGTTTGGAGCTAGGTGGACGGTGGCTCGCATGTCGAAGCTAGCCTTCGCCACGATCATGCATCTGTACCTTTCTGATGTGGGTACAACATACAGCGGTGTGATGGACCTCACCTCTTGAAGATCTGCAGACAGAGAGAGAAGATCGACTCCCATGAATCCGTCCTTCAACTTCGAAGCCAAGATGATGGAGTCTAGATATTCAAATCCAACCCCTCCCTTCCAAGTAAAGGTTGGTGGAAGCGAGATTTGACAGTGTGGGTCTATTGTCTCGACGGTGATATCCAAGTCAACTTTGGTGATGCTGATGCGCCACTTCCCCTCAAGAATGCAAGCCATCAGAAGCAAGTCGGGGCCTCGGGTAACGAAGAAAACTTGAGAGGTTTTAGGATCAAGCTTCATCTTCACGCCAACAGTGACCCAATCCTCTTGTTTAATGTCATACGCATGGAGTTCATATTGCTGCCGATCCCCTCCCGAAACACAGTAGTAAACGTCTTTGAAGATGATGCTGCAGTAGCGTAGTAATGAAACGTCACTGCAGTCTCGTTTCAAGTCAAGAAGCAGCTCCCAAGAATTGGACACTGACTCGTACATGTAATGCCGCAGTCTGATGCCACGCTCCCCAGTGTACACAAGGGCTACTGCAAAGATTTTGTATTTGCCAGAACTATCCGCCTGCATTACAAGGTCTATACTACTCTGATATAAGCAGTTCAATGGGGGTAAAGCTCTGAAATTCTTTGTCAAGGGATTGCACACAAGCATTTCATAACTATCACCATCATCAAAGGGATATAATAACATCTCACGTGCGACTAATTTGCCCCACAAGCACAACAGGCCGCCATCTGAGCAAAATCGCTCAATATGAGGCGTATAGCTCCTCAGCACGTGAGGAGGTGACATGAGCGCGGGGAGGAAAGAAAGGTCGATGATATCCCATTTGTTGGCAATCGGGCTGTAGCGGAGGCACGTCACACGATCAGACCACGACCAATTGCAGGGGATGCCGAGAAGGAATGGCTCCTCGGCGCACACTGTCGGCAGCTTGTTCCAGTGTTTACAGACAGTTCTAAATTTGCATAATGTAGAAAATGGAAGCCGTCTCAACACGTGCTCAAGAATTTCTGCTGGCAAGTCACTCCACACCTTGGCGTCAAGCTCCTCTGGCATCCTGCAGGAATCACTTTCCAATCCTGCGAGAACGCATGAGAGACGGACTTAGCAGTAAAGACCAACATCAGGGTTCTCAATTGAAATGCATGGGATTCTACACAGGGTTTAAATTACTACATGAATTTGATAAAAAAATAAAAACTGCACCGAAACCTTCGTCAAACAGACACCGTCCTGCCTTACTTAATGCTCATTGTTTCTATAAACTACGGTTGAATGTCGTCTTAATTGCGATAAGTTAAAAATGGAACAAGTCTCAAAATTCAACCCGACCAATTTGTTACGTACAGACACATTTCTTGCTTTTACCAAGATGGTCCTTTTATTGCTACCTTCACGTCTCGTGTAGACCTGTTCTGCCGCTTTAATTTAAAACAAAAACCCAACGGCGGGATTCTCGCTGTCGGTGTTGTATCCTCCTCCCCATTAACTTAATCCCATACAAATCGGTCAAGTAATAACCAGTAGCTAGGTTGATCGCATGAATTCACTGGATCCTGCAACACGAGGAGTTTCAGAAATCACAAGCGAGTGGGAATGGAACACACTACTTCGTGATACGACGCGGATTTTGAGTTGGATTTTCGATTAAGCCAGACACCTACTTAATGATGTCAGCTTCCAGCAATGTTAAATGTGAATTAACTCCGACAAGGACATTGCGAGAAATGAGTGTGCTCTATTGGTTTACGCCTGTGAAGCCACTTCAAGGGAAGGGAAGGCTAACTGCACCGACCAACAATTAATTCCTATTATGAGTGACTGGTGACTATCTTACTGTGCCATTCATCTGAGCCTCCTTGGACAAAACCTAACCCTGATCCAAGCAGTTTTGAACTCATCAATATAAATCTTAGTTCAAGCTCCTTCATCATACAGCTCCAATTGCACGCAGACAAAGTAAAAGACGCCACAGTCTTCAATTAGAAAAGTTCACAATTGTACATCACCTCAGGAAGTTGCTATGGCGTGTAAACAAATCAACGGCCCTCCATCTCCTGCTCGCTCGTGTCAATCCCTTTGATACCCAACTCGCCACTCACTGCTTTCCCAAGAGAATTTGCCGGAACAGATCAGTAAACTTCCGGATGAGGTGAATTAGGCGAGACGACTGTGGCTATTTTTCCCACTGACCCACAAGACGAATCATGCGCTAGGAATATTGACTACCCTCCGCGCTTGCTGAAACTCTCTACCGCCTGTTCTATGCCTGCAAATGCATTCCTTGCATTCTATGCTTTTTTTTCAATTCAGAATCAAACAGTACTCCTCAGATTGTAAAGTGGGCAAATAAAACTGTCACCAACATCAAGAATTAACTATGCGGTTGTGGGAACCGTGGTTGACCTCCTCACACGAGAAAGAATGCAATCAAGCAAATCTTGACAAATTACTTGGTTGGGACTAAGTGATTTCTTAGTAGCGAAACCGAGCCCGCAATGTGGAGCCGCCGGCATCACTGTTCCAAAGGAATCTAAACACGTGGTGATTGAGAACACTGACCAGGGGTTTTGGCACGCGGCTTGCAAGTTATGTGACAAATGAGCATTTACCAGATGTGAAGCGGAAAAGGCTTCTGAAAAGTTGCTGTGTACTTTGATGCGTCGTAGTTTTGATTCTTTAATTATAGATTAGTGCAAACTTAGAAGGCCTGGCCCTTGCGTTAGTGGTGGAGCTGTGTCCCTCGATCTTGTCACCAACCCTAACCCCGTGGAAAGACCACCGGAAACCACTTTGGCTCTTGCAAGTGCAGCTTCTATTTGCCTTCTTCACCTATCGTCGTTGTTTTCAGTACAGAGAAGACGAGCGGAATCGCAATCTTTTGCCTACATTACAGTGTTGGCTGCGTTCCTGGGGTAGGGCTTCAGCGAGTTCGGAAGCCATGGCATCCACGGCTACTGCCTTCAACGCCGCTACTGCCGCCAATGGAGTGCGACTCAACTCCATCGCAGCCTCGTGTGCATCGTCTGCCTCTTGCAGGAGCGTCTCTTTCTCTTCGTTGAGACCGGCAGCAGCGTCTAGATTGTCAAGTCTGAACTCATCGCTGCGAGGTGGGTTCATCGTCGTGCAGGGTGATGTGGCCTGGAGGCAGGACGTGCGAGGCATGCCTGTGCAGGTGCGTGCCGATGCGTCTGGGGCTGCTGCTCCCAAGTCCGGATCCTCTACATTCAAGGTTGCTGTCCTTGGAGCCGCTGGAGGGATTGGTCAACCTCTCTCCCTCTTGATCAAGATGTCCCCTCTTGTGTCCGACCTTCGCCTGTACGATATTGCAAATGTTAAGGGAGTTGCTGCGGATCTTAGTCATTGCAACACTCCTGCGCAGGTAACTATTTCTCAACTGGATTTAACCCTTGAATCCAATCGAAGATCGGAAGGCTGCGGATTGTGATGTAACCTGTGAAAAAATGTGACTTATTCTATTGGGATGGTTCTTTGATCCTCCAAATATTGAGGAAGTTGACGGCGAGTCTGTTTACTCTTTCAGGTCTCTGCCTACACTGGTCCAGCAGAACTCGCAGCAGCACTGAAGGACGTGAACCTCGTTATCATTCCCGCAGGAGTACCCCGCAAACCCGGCATGACCAGAGATGATTTGTTCAACATCAACGCCGGCATCGTCAGGAGTCTCGTTGAAGCAGTTGCGGAAAATTGCCCCAACGTGAGACTTCGGCTACCACTTTTACCGATCTTGATTTCTATGTGCTAGTATCATTATTCCTGTTTGATGAGTCTTTGCCACAAAAATGTATGTACTGTGCGATCTCATCGTGCCAAGAATTTACTAGTCTAATTACTCTGTGTCGCTGCAATAGGCTCTGATCAACATCATCAGCAACCCCGTGAACTCCACGGTTCCAATTGCTGCCGAGGTTCTCAAGGCCAAAGGTGTCTACGACCCCAAGAAGGTCTTCGGCGTGACCACATTGGATGTGGTGCGGGCCAACACATTTGTGGCCCAGAAGAAGAACTTGCGCCTGATTGACGTGAATGTTCCAGTGATCGGTGGTCACGCTGGTATCACTATACTTCCCTTGCTTTCAAAGACAAAGCCCACCGTTGAGTTTACACCTGCGGAAGTGGAGGAGCTGACCGTGCGTATCCAGAATGCCGGTACTGAGGTTGTGGACGCTAAGGCCGGAGCTGGATCTGCTACTCTTTCAATGGTAAGAGTCGTGGTCTCAATTTAATGTTATAGTTGTATTGCGCAGGTTTCTGCATTTTCTGAGCTTATGAGTTAACGAGTAAAATTATTACATCTCCGTATATTTTTTGTGTTTCTTCTGTGCATACAGGCGTATGCTGCTGCCAGATTTGCTGAATCGTGCATGCGAGCAATGGATGGCGACTCTGATGTTTATGAGTGCGCTTACGTCCAATCCGAGGTTTGCACACTTCTGACTCTCCATGTAGCACAAGAGTTAAAATCTTTCCGTGGATTTTCTGCAATCAATGTTCTATATTAATGTTATATCAGAGTTGGAGAATTATTGATTCACTTATGCTTGTAGCGAGGACAACAATTTACCGAGCAGTTTCGTGTGATTCTTTTTTTTTCTCAGGTCACGGACCTGCCTTTCTTCGCCACCACGCTGAAGCTCGGAAAGAAGGGTGTCGAGGAAATTATCAGTGAGGATTTGAACGGGTTGACCGAGTACGAGAAGAAGGCCGTTGAGGCTTTGAAGACAGAGTTGAAGGGCAGCATTGAGAAGGGTGTTCAGTTTGCCAACAAGCAAGCTGCCACTGTCTAGATCCAAGTAGACACGCCATTATTTAGGGTGGGTGGTTCACATTTTAGTATTGGGTTCTAGTGCGACACTTCTTTTCGAGCTCCTGCTCGGTTGGGACTGCCACACCAACATACTTCAAAATCCCTTTAGTTGAATGAATTTCTGCGATAGCGACTTTTAGTGATACTGGTTCCCAGTGGACGGTGCTCCACATCCCCACTCACCCCCCCCCCCCTGCCCTTCTCTAAGGAGATCCAAATTTTTGTCCTAACAAAATTGGAAGAAGTTTTGCGATTGTTGCCTCTGATACCGAGGGTTCTTAAATAAACTGTGAGGGTGGCACTTCAGGATCCTTTGTATTGATAACAAAATAGTAGAGACTCAACTATTGGTGATGTTCAAGCATGCATGTCCCATCTGCAGATATCCTTGAATCGATTCCCCCTATTAATAAGGAATCTTCCAGTACAACACGATACTCAATCGTTCTCTCTTATCCCACTCCTCAAAATTGCATTTTGGCAAGGTGGGCCCTATAACTGAGCTTCACCTAAATACCGTTACAACCTGTCCTGCTGTCTTGTCGTGCCCTTCCTTCCATCTTCGGTGCCTGGTTCTAGGGATTCGTTTTCACCCACAAGCAGCAGGCGAGCATGCGGAGATGCCTGTGCAATGCGGTTTGTTTCTCATCCAAATGTGGCAGGATTGAGCGTTTCCTTCCCACTCCCTCCATGCTCTCACGTGTTAATAAAGAGCCTTTCGTGAGGAGTGCAAGAATTGAAGGGACCCGAAAAGCAAGCCTGAGAAGACGCTGATCAACTGGGCTTCGGTTGAGCTCAAGGCTTTCGTATGACGGACAACGAACGATGAGCTGCCGTGTCCCTACAGATGCGGGAGCAGGCTTCGTTGATGGATGAATGTATGAAATAAACTTGGAATGGACGGATGTGTTCACTTTCACCACATTCATCCTCTTCATCCTTTTCCCCTTGGACTGATGAGCCATACCCAACTCAGCAAATTAATTAGACCCCCTTCTGTACATGTACTTTGAATTTAATATTTTTTATGCTTTAAATTGAAATTCAGCTGTTGATGGTATGCATAATTTTTTTTGTACTGATGAAAACAATAATAATAATAATAATAATAATAAAGGTAATAGTAATACTAATAGTAATAATGGTTGTTATATGTTTGTTGGCAACAATTCTTTCACAATAATTTGAAGAACTGGAACTATGTGGAATAAATCAGGTTGACTGATGAATTACTTTGCAACAGGTCGGCATAATTAACATATTTGTTTAGGAATATGCTCACTGGTCTCAACTCATTTGTTGGGAAGTTTTTTGGAAGAATATTTTCCACTAAAAATTTGTGATATTTGAAAGGGTCACTATTTAATTTGGTCCAAGTCAATGATAAAATAGAATTGAACGACATGAATGAATGAAAAATAATTAAATTAGTGTATGAACTGGTTTGCAAAGTTAGTTAATAAAAGAATATATATTTTTTATTTTTATACTAAAATCAATGTTTAGTTTATTTTTTTTTTTAAAAAAACACATGTTTGAGAGGACATAATTTGAATTTTAAGTTGTTCCACTTGAATTTCTACATTCGGAAAAATATAAACATTGGCATCATTAATATATATATATATATATATAATTACTTTGACAAGCCTTGAAATAATATAATTAAATATAGTATACAGTGATAATTTACAAGTGTCTCAAGATGCAACTCATACACAGTTTTAAGATTGTTTACAGAAGTAAATTATGTAAGTTTATCTATCTCTTTGTGTACAGTTTTATGTATATCATGGAAGTATTGGTGCCAAACGTTTTAAAACAATGTTTCTGACATCATAAGTGAACCGGATAAAGATACTGTTAAGAATTGTACTTGGTTATGTTTATATATATTTTCTTATTTGCAATGATATAAAAAATAACTAAATAGATAAATAAATATAGTGGTGGTTTCAGACACTAATAAGAGAAATTCCAATAGTTAACAAATATATAAGAAATAAATTTTCTAATACTAAATTTGCACAGTTTCCAACAGAATCTGTTCGAGTAGTTCTTTGAAAAACTATTTATTGATATAATTTTTTTTTAAAATAGAGGTTTAAGTTGTTCCACTTAAACCCCATACAATTTGAATTTTCTTGTAAACAAAGTCATCATAAAATATAAATGTAATTTTTGAAAACACAAAAGTGTATGCATGTATGTATGATATTTTATTATCACATAAAAAGCTCTTTTTTGCGAGCCTTAAAAAGAGAAATCAACAAATTTTGTTTTTAAAAAAATTCAGAATTTCAACGCTTTTTTTTTTTTTTTTTTTGGAAGTTGTGCAGGTCATGTTAAGTAATTCCGACTTTACTTGAACATATTATACCAATCATACTTTAAAGCATCAAAATGTACATGAATACGTTTGAGATGTTTCACTCTAGTTTGAAATCAACACTATGTTTATTCCAGTTAGTAAAAAATATTATTATGTAAACTTTTTTTGTATACATTTTTTTTTTTTTTTTTTTTTTTTTTTTTTTTTTGTTATCAACTTTAGAAAACTATCTTTTACAATATAGATAATAAACCCTCTATATCATCATTTATTCTTTTCGTGGTTGTTGAGAGCCTTCTAGGTATTCATTTAGAACACAGATCATTACTTATTTAGAACCTTGAGTTACAACCTTTTAGATAAAACTTCCACAAGCAATATATATTTTCTTAAATTTTGTATTTTTCTTTAAGCTTGAAGGGCAAGTTATTACTAGCTTTAGCAACAAAATTTGGAAAGCTTAAAAAGCAAGGCGTTAGATACTTAAACAACAAATTTGTAACAGCCAATCCATGAGATTTTAGCTTTGCAAGTAAAAATATTAAATGAATTAACATGGAAAACTTCTTTAATTGCATCTACTCAACTCTTATAATATATATATATATATATATACATTGGATTAGCACATTTTCTTATATACCAAAAAAGAAATTCATGTATTTATGTATCTTTATTTGGAGCTTTACATTTTCTCCTTGCTAAAATGTTGACATGGTTGGTTCCAATTCTTACATTTTCACCTTAAAAAACTAAACGTGAACGAAATTCAAATATTTTCATTTCTCAAAAAAAAATCATAGTTATTAGTTTCATAATCATATTATTGAAATAAAAATATATAATTTTCTGTAAATATTATCATTCTTATTATTGTTTTCCATTGAGTCATAATAACTTTCTGTTTCCTAATTCCAAACAACCTAATGCATGTTACTTTCTATCGACTCTAATGAATCCAATTAATAATAATAAATTAGTTATGAATTTTTTATGATTAAAATTAAATTTTTTTTCATAATAAAATGTTACACTTAATCAAATATTATAACTAATACTCAAAGAAATAAACACAAAAAGAGAGCAAAGTCTGGAGAATGCACACCTGCAACCGAGGGGAACAGCACCAGGGGACGTGTTCCTGGAAGAGCGTAACGAGCTCCCGAGGGTGGAGGGGAACAATACCCGGGGACGTGTTCCCGAGGTGCGGAGGGAGGGGAACGTCGTGTTCGAAGTGGAAATCCAGCGCTCTAGCGCTTTTCCTTCGAGGGACTCTGCTGCTGCTGCTGCTGCGTCGATAAATTGCGTGACCTAGCCTTCGATTTCTGATCACAGCTCACCATCAATCCATCGCAGAAGAAGAATCCCTTTCTTTAGTTATACCAAGGAATTGGTTCTTCCCTTGTGAACTCCTCAGAGCTCGTTTCTGTTTTCGTCGTCGTCGTTTTCGTGTACAAATACGTACCGTTTTTGGTGGAGAAGCGGGGAGTGCGCGATAAGTGGCCACTATCGAGGGCGAAGTTTGTTGAACGCAGCGTGTATTGGTGCCACTGCCTGGTGCATCACCAGGCATCTCTCTAATGATGTCTCCAATGCCTGGTGTCGCATCGGAGTCGGAGGCGATGGGGGAGCAGGGAACGGGTAGCAAGGGGAGGAATGCCGTGCTAGTTTTTTTGCTCGCTATATCTGTTTTTCCCGCGTTCGTTGTTGCGGTCGAGGAGAAGCCGCTCCCGTTTATCGTGCTTCACGGTATTTTTTCGCGTCATCTCGCTGCTGGTTTTGATGTTGAATAGTTTTTCAAGTCTTTGACAGAGCGGTTTTAGACCTGTTCAGCTGTCGTAATATGCGTGTTTTTATTTATATTTTTTTTTCAATGCCCTGTATGGTGGAACGGAGTTGTTCAGTCTCGCGTGAATGTGGAATTCTGGCATTTCCTGTCTTGCAGCAATTGGAATCGTTAATTGCAGGCTGCTATCTCACTCTACACGGTCCAACTGAGTCATAATTGTCCAATTGTTGTGGTCATGGCGAGAACAGTCCATAAATTCAATATACTTGTAGCAACCCACTCAGACGGGAATGAAAATATCATTTAGCAAAAGATGAGAAAATATTCTTTTATCACTTCACGGTTAGCGATTGGTTTCCATTTTTCTTTGATGCCCTTCGAAGCAATTACGCGATGATGTCACTGCTGGTTTTGCCTGGAAAGACGCAAAAGTAATGCCCTTCGTATTATGTTCATTTTCCTGTTAAATTTTGCAATTTATCTTGCCTGTTGGCTGGCTTGAATTGAATGTCTTTTACTCCAGAATTCTATAAACTAATGCATGCTTGAATACTATTTCTTATTGTGAGCTGAAGAGGTGGTTTTGAACCAGGCATTGGAGATGAATGTAGGAACCAAGGGCTGTACGAATTTACTAATTTTCTCATCAACGAGTCTGGAGCTTTTGGATTTTGCATGTAAGACATGTTTTGGGTGTATCGATATCCTAAACAGCACAATGCTTGGTATTGGTTTCTAGATGCAGACATACTGTTTTGACTTGGACAACGACAACGTCTTAGACTTTGTTCATAGATCAATCGGTAACCCAGCTGCTTTGGATTGTACTCTATCTCTATGCTTTCAATTATGTAGGCGAATTTGCATGGGAAGTTCGTACGATGCTCAATCAACACCTTCTAATTAAATCTGGGGCATCTCACATAAGTAGCGTTCTCTGAATTCGGTGTAGTTTCATACGCACCTTCTAGGCAACTTACGAGGTATTTTAGTCTGTCAACAGGAGCGTCAGTTTCTTCTCATCCTTTTGTTTGTGCCCAGGATGCGATTAAAATGTGCGGACTAACACGTGAATGTCTTTTCACTCTCTTCTACTACGCTTGTCCCATAGAGAGATAGGCAATGGAGCAAGTGACTCGTTCTTTATGCGCCTTGACAAGCAGGTGAATAGTTCGTAACCATGGTTATGTGAAGATTTTCTTTATTTGTGTGATGATCAAAGCTCAATGTTGAACCTACGGTTTCAAGTGAAATACTAATACTGATCAATATTGTTGGGGTTGGGGGGTCAGGCTGACCTTGTGTGCGAGCAGGTATTGCCTGATTTCCTACGCTGTAATCTGTTAAACTTTGTTGCATGCATGGGACTTTGTTTTTCAACTTATATACATCTTTAGATCAGCTTTCTTGCGGCCAGTGCTTAAATGTGTGCACTTCAGGATTTGGTCCAAAGATAGGATAAGTCATTAGACCTGCATATGTTTCATTCTGAACTTGTTAAATTTCGCAATATTTTATTCTATTTTATATTATTCCTTTTTTGCCAGGTGAAAAAGATTCCAGAACTGAGAGGCGGCTACAACGTTGTCGGTCTATCACAGGCGAGAATACAACGCAAGCATCTAATGTGGCTCAGCTCAGAAGCTTGACTTTGTGCGGAAAGGATTTGTTCGGACTCTATTTGTAACTACTCATGATGTTTGTGCAGGGAAATGTCGTGGCTCGTGCTGTGATTGAATTTTGTGACGGTGGACCACCTGTAAGTTTTGAACATTCACTGTAATATCTCATGTTATGCTCTTCCTTTTACCTTACGCTTCTTTCATTTACATCCTTTTGCTCTTTTCTATTCCTCAAGACATCTCAAGAGGACCTTAGCGACAAATTTCATCTACAAGGGGCGATCTTATATCTAAATTTTTTTTACGCTATTATTTTTGCATGCTCTTGCATCAGTGTAAATGGAGGAACTGTTGTGGGATTAAGACAGATTAGTATTAGTGCTATCAGATAGGTTTCTGAATAAGTTCCATATGGTTATTTGGAATCTTTGAAAGATTCTCTTAATGTTCTCAATTTGAACAGGTCCACAACTTCGTATCCTTGGGAGGACCTCATGCAGGAACTGCATCAATACCAGGGTGTTCGGTAACTTATGAAGACCCTGTAGTTTAGTTGTGGTTACCTGTCAGTCACCTCTAATCTTTTGCTTGCACGTGCCTGCTTCAGGTCAGTCTTTGAGCAGTATTCTTGATTCACCAGTCTAACAAGAAGTTCTTCTATATGCTGGGGGTGGGGAAATGCACAGATCATGTCCCTTTGTAAATTGGCGGACGCACTAATTAGACTTGGTGTATATTCATCATTTGTACAGGTACGAATTCGTCTACCAACCGATTCGACCACGCTGTTCCATTTCATGTGCATTTCAGTTTCCAAAGCCCAATGAATGGTATCGAAAGTTAGATCGGGGCTGATATGGCTTGAGTTTTAGTAACATATTTGGATTCATGTTGTGATTACAGAACCACCTTGCTCCGAGTGGCTACGTGAAAATTCCTAACGTGAGTATCAGTTCCATCTCAAATTTCATGCCCTGTCGGTCTTCCAAGTGTCAGAACATTGAAGTCATCACAAGCTGAATGAGAAAGAAACAGTTGCTTGGTTTACACTCTCTGCTCCCTGATGGATAGATCACGTAGATTCTGACACGTTGCGGGCTGAGTACTTGGCCGCGGGTTGTATAGGATTTGGCTGCCTATTATAAGGGTTCAATGTTCTTACCGAAACTAAACAATGAGATAGCTTCTACTCGGAACGAAACCTACAAAAAGAGATTCGAAAGTATTAATCACCTGGTGTTGATTATGGTAAGTCTCTTCCTCACTTGTAAGTGCATGGTTTAGTCTTTTGTTTTGTTTCCATATAATGGACAATATATCAGTTCATATGTGTTCGATGGTATGACCACAGGTGCAAAATTGGTCATCTGTTTTTTATCACTCAATAGCATCGATGAAAGCCTGCAGTCTTGGGTTGGATGTTCCCTGGAGTGTTGAATGTTCTCTCGACTGAAATAGCCATGTTATGTACGTCTGAAAATTTCAATTTCTTATCATGCAAGCGCCATGAATTGTGAAGCTCAGGAGTTGTATGTTCTGATTTTTACGTCGATCGATGGCTCGTTTTTGCAGTTCCAGGAGGATGCTATCTTAGTTCCTCCTCAAACAGCTTGGTTTGGTTACTATGGTGAGAATGATTTCACTACTGTACTACCTCCTGAAAGGGTAAGTGTATTTCAATCTCAAAAATTTGGTGACAAAAAAATTAGCCTTGGACGTTTCCATGACTGAATTTCTCAGACAGTGAACCTTTGAACCGATGATGTTATCTGTCTCTTTCCAACATAACTTTTAGCAATTCTTTGCAAACATCCATTCTTCAGTAGGTCTTCCAAGCTCCCATGGTTTTCCTGGGCGTAACGGTAGCACTACTTGAATCTAGTGACTGAAGCACGAGTTTATGATAATGTTTTAAGTGCTAATTGAAATCACAATTTTTTTTCCTTGGGATGCAGACGGATCTATACAAGGAGGACTGGATTGGACTTAGAACCTTGGACGAAGCGGGCCGAGTGACATACATTGCTTTTCCTGGTGACCACTTAAGTATAAACGACGTCCAGCTTAAAAAGTTTGTTGTTCCGTACCTTAGGAGCTCCCCTATTGCTCCTAGTATTGACTGGTCATCGTATTGAGTTCAAGGTGTAGGTGTCATTAGAAGGCCAGTAGTGCTATTTCATTGCTAGACGTCTCCTGAAAAAGAAAGTCGTGTACATTATATTCGGAAAAAGTTCACTTCTGAGTGCGAGATTGTTATCTCGTGTACCAAGATGATGCTCTTACATGTAGACCAACTATTACGTCAATTGGAAAGTTTGCTGTATAGATGAATATTTTTCATGGTTCATCATTATAAAAATAAACTAAATTAGATTTGCTTTCAATCTTGTTAAGATATTTCTTATACTTTTTTTTGTCATGTTGTGGTTGGGCGCGTGACATCACTTTCTTTTAGGTGGCAGCAAGTCGATTCTTCAGCTCATAGTTCACACGAGACTCTTGTCGATTATAAATCATGAAACGTGTTTTAGATGTCAATTTCACTTCTGCGAAGAGAGCTGCAGGGTTTCTCTTGGTTAACTTTCTAAGCAGACCAGCAGATGGGTGCAGTACCGACTCGTTATCTACTTAGGTCTGTTTCGGTTGAATGGTAAGCTTTAGCTTGTCGAGGCTGGACAATTGTCAGTCTGCGGATACTGTCCTTACGATTCAGAAAGGTTCCTCCGGTCTTTCTCGTCGGTATCGAAATATTTGAAGCAAGTCATTTTCTAATGTCGTGCCGGTGTCTGGTCTCTTTCGCTTTGATCCTCCCGTTTTTGACCCTCAGTTGTAAGTTGTGGAGAACTAAATGAGAAATCTGAAAGTTGAACGATTTTACTGTTTACAACGGGGCGATTTGTTTTTCTTTCGGGTGAGGTGTTGTGGTAACTAGTGCCATTGTGACCTGTTTCGGGTTCACGATCCATCTGAGTTGAGGTACTGTGGGTCTATCACTTGGAGGCTAAAACTCCAACTTGGACGCTTTGCAAGAAGCCTCTAGAGATTGTGTACTTGGGTACGTCGTACCTGAATATGCTTTGTATGGACAGTTGACGTTGAAGAGTGATGTCAACAGCTCTGGGTGTATTTGCTTTATCTTCCAAAAGGCGGTCCTGCACTCCATGAATTTCTAAAGAAATCAAGCAGAGTGAAGGAGTTCCTGCTACTGATTGGCTCATTATGGGGTGAGTGTGTTTTTACATAAAAGAAACTGCGATATAGACCACCTAGATGCAAACATCCGCCATGTGAGAGATCACCATTTTCGGGAACTGTTTTGAACTCTGGCTCTCTCCAGTGAATGCTCCTATCCTGTTATTCTAGAACAGAATACCTCACAGCCACTTTCATCAACCAGCCTGACATAACGTCACGGTCAGGCATAAAACCCCAAAATATACGGAATAAGATTGCATACAGTTCGGAATTGTGGATAGAGTGTAGAGATGATGTAACTCGAACATGTTGCGGAGTTCCATATATCCACTTTTTGCAATTGCTTTCCGCTCCTTCCTTGTCTGACGAGCAATAAGACCAATTTCCTACCATGACGCAAAATTAGGAATAAAACGTGCCTATCAATGTTCCAGGTGAAAGACATATTCAGTCAAATCTTGTAACTGGCTTGAGTCTGCCTTCTTGTTGACCACAGAGGACATGGGCCTCACTGTCAACATTTGAGAAGCTGGATCCAAAACCCATCCATGCTGTTGCGTTAAGACTGCAAACCCACAAAAAATTATGTAAGTCAAACCATGAATGTCATCAGAAAGAAAGGTCACTTAGGTGCAACAGAACTTGTGGAAGGCTAAATCCTCGCTAGAGGAAATTTGACTGTCTGCACAACTAATGTTTAGTAAAAGACCACTTCTACAACAAGGCGAATATGATATATACTACCTTCCTAAACAAAGTTACTAAAAACGAATTTCAAGAACTATTCGAATAGAAGGCTCACAAGTGACTGTTTCGTTCTCCGACAATCCTAAGAAGCCAGACGCATCAGCAACGCTCACAGTGGAGTAGGCGGTGGAAAGTAATCTCAGCATACAGGAGGAGTAGTCATCTGTCACAGGAGGATATAAAGGGTTCAGAGCATGCTCAGTTTCCACCGACCTTGTTGTTTGCAGCAAACCAGCTGCCGCTATTTCATTCTACTGCAGCTTTCAGAGACATTCAAACCTTCTCCTTCATCAAATTACAGGCATTAAAAACGAGGAAAATGCATTTAATTTCATTCTCCCACTGTCAATAGGATACGTACTGCTAATTGCAGTAGCAACCGGTTGCACTTGTTCGCTCCAATCAAAACCTTTTAGGGCTTTGTACACGCCAGCGTGATCATGAGTCCACATGTTCTGTACAATTTTCCACGCTGCTACCAATTCTGGGCTACTTTCTTTGATGGTCTGAGCAGTTCGTTTCCAGACAAATCTCGCACTATTTCTAAGACATATCAACGCTGCGCAATTAGAGACAGCAGCAGCAAAAAAAAACAAAAAAAAATAAAACTCCAATACTGGTGTTGCACATGATGTACATTCCTGGAACTGGTCCGCTATGCAGAATCATACGAATAATTTCGACGTTCATTAGCAATGCTGAACCATCAATTTAGGTCACAACTCCCGAGCTTTTTAACGCTTTAATCACTAGGTAAAGCACAAATCGATATATCAACATTAAACATCAGGCTCCTTACAAGTCATGATTCACAACATGGGAAAGAACGTGCACAGCATAAGGCCAGTCTTCGGGTTTCGATGCTCCGGAAGCTGCAATCTACAAAACACAGGCCGACAATATCAAAATTTATCGACGACCACTCTTCCCTCTAAAACCTCCCTGTTCCAAACACAATCCAGAGACGTCTCGTCAGCTATTGATCATCCTCGAAGAGTGTGATCGGAGCTGCAGCAATCATCCAAAAAAACCAAAGAAAAAAAAAAAAAAGCAAAACAAAACAAAACCATACTAATCCATCACAAAGACATAAACCCTAAAAAGGAAAAGGAAAAAGAAAAAAGAAAAAAGAAAAAAAAAAAAAACTCAGCAAGAATTGCCTCAAGCTCCAAATTGTCCAGAAGATCCGCAAGCTGAGAAAATTGGAGAGAGCGGATGGCGGTGCGGATCGCTCCGAGACCAGGCGACGAAGACCCAGCAGCGGATCCGTTGACAGGAATCGCCATCGTGCTCTTCAATTCTTCAAAACCCTACCAAAATTGCCCCTCGTCTCTCCTCCCCCCTTCTTCTGTGCCTCACTGAGTCTGCGAAATGCCCCATCCTCCTCCATTGATCGCCCATTGCCGCTCTAGTTTGCCGATTGATGGATGAATGTATTGATGAATGGTCTCATGTGTGGATGAACGAAGTCGACTATGTTGACGAATTATATCGTCGACATTCGTTGGTTTGGATTGTGTATCTGTTTGGATGAAGGTCTCTTGTGCTCATACTATTTTGAGCCGTTCTCTATTCCCAACCATTGCTAAGGATAGGGGCGAGAGGTTGAGAACATTAGGAACGGGGGGCAACAATTGGGAATAAGAGAACAGCTAGGAATGGGATTGAAAGGGTACAATGATGGTTTAAACATGTGGGTTGATTTAGTCAAAATTTGGGTTGCTTTATTATATATATATATATATATATATATATATTGAACTTGTGAAAAACAACTCTTTGTCTTTTTTATATTTCTACAATAATTATGCTACAATAGCTTGGGAAATAAGATATTTTATATTTTATAAAAGAATTAAACAAACTAAAACATAATTCTAAATTTTGAAATTTGAATAATTAAAAACATTGTGCAAAGATATGAATCATAGACAATGAGATTAGTTTTAAATGTAAAAGCCCAATTAATACAATTTGGATATATTTAGAGTACTTTGTATTCATTTAAAAAAATCTCCACAATTTTATTAGATACATCTTGTACTTCTATATTATTTTTAAAGTTCATATATTATATGTTTTTGTATTTTATATTTTATATAAGTATATACTTCTTCTTCTTCTTCTCTCTCTCTCTCTCTCTCTCTCTCTCTATATATATATATATATATATACTTTAGGAAGACTTTGTTAATTTGTACAATAATTATGCTACAATTGCATCTTTGTTAATTTGTGAATTAAAATATAAAATACTTATATAAAATATAAAGTACAAATATACTTATATAAAATATAAAATACAAATATAAAATATAAAATACAAATATAAAATATAAAATACAAATATAAAATGTACTTGTACAAATGTATTAGATTTGTATTGTGAGGAATTTGGTACAGTTGAATATTTATATTTTAATTCACAAATTAACAAAGATGCAATTGTAGCATAATTATTGTACAAATTAACAAAGTCTTCCTAAAGTGTACATATATATATATATATATATATATAGAGAGAGAGAGAGAGAGAGAGAGAGAGAAGAAGAAGAAGTATATACTTATATAAAATATAAAATACAAATATTTCTACAATAATTATGCTACAATTGTACAAGTACATTTATACATACATATACATACCATCATTAGAGGCATCTCAATGATTTGGAAAAATACATATGTATGTAGTGAGAGACAATACAATAATAAATTACAACATAAACAATACAACTACGAATTATAAAAATATACTTTACTGACTCTAAAAAAATAATCATTAAACCAGTCATAAAAGGAATAAAAGGACTAAATAAATAAAACACACACACCTATCACTGTGAAAATAAAAGAGATACAAAATGTTGATATATGTATCTCATGGTTTTGGTTTGGGGCATGAATTTAAATCCGCAAATGGAAGTTTAGTCGTTTCTAAATTTATGATTAATATTTATGAATATTTTATTTTTATAATTTTAAAGTTCCGCCCATAGTTTTATATTTATACTTCTAGTATAATCATTTTAATATTTATATCACAGAATTTGTAAGATAGTATGATAAAAAAAAACTTTATTTTTTGGGCTTTTTAAATATATATATATATATATATATATATACAAAAAGCCCAAAATATATATATATATATATATATATATATATATGCATATTTATATTAACATTATTAAGTAAATAGGCTGTTGGAAATATATTTTTAGATATTACTTTTATAAACGCACCATAAAATAAATCATAGAAACACTGTAGATTTAATTTCTTATAATAATTTTAATTTAGTATTTTATTTTATATTTGAAGTACTTTTAATGGTGCTTTGAAATTTTTGATTCCATGAAATCTATTTCTATTTTATTGTTAAAATAATATTTTTATTTTCAAAAAAATAATAAATGAGATTTTTTATGATAATTATTTTTTAAGTTTCTTCTAATAGAATAACGATCCTAAATAAATAATGTTTGGAAAATTTATGGAAAGTTTGAAAAATAAAATAAAACCTGAAAACACACTTTCAGAAATATACTATTATTTAATACTTTATTTATATGTAAATTTGTGATTATATACCTAAAATCAATTGATAGATAGTTGTGCTGAAGAGTTTGCACAAATTCTATGGATGAAATTTGTTGAGGTCTGTAGATTGTTTTTTTCCAACCTCTGTTCTTAATAGCAACCCTATTTTTTAATATTTGAGACTAGATGACAAAAAGGATAAGTTAAGAATATAAACACTCTGTGATAAAAATAGTTTTTTGTTAAAATTTCAATGAATTAAATATTTGTATTCTACATGCAACATTATCATGCTTACTTTTTTAAAAAAAATTAAAAAATTATTTATTATTAATTTTTATTTGAGAAATCAAATTTTGTAGAATTTGTTTTATACTATAATGGAACAATAAATGTATAAAATCAACTGGCTATTATATAATTAGGTAGTTAAAAATAGTTATTATATATGTATTCATCTTCATACTGCATCAAGTATTTAATTTTCAAATCTTTATACGAAGTATCTGATTGAAATTGCAAATAAACAAAAAATGCAAGGAATGTATGTCTCTCAGATGAAATTTTGAATTATTTGTAACACCTTCCAAAAACCCACTTATAATGCTTAATTTTGTTTATTCAAAAAATAAAATCCATTTATAGTACATTCGTTATGATTCATTACAAATGTTATATAATTCAGATAATTTTAGAAAAAATATTTATTAATATCAAATTTAAAATTATAAAAATAAAATCTAAAATCAAATTGCAAGTGTAAGAATGACATCAATAATTTTGAATACACATATCTTCTTGGTATACATGTTATATTAGATGGGTTTTTCTTAGTTCTGTATATTACACTAAAATATCATATACACAAATATTCATCCATTATACATACACACAAATATACATCTATACAAAATATTGTAAGATCTCTTGCATCGTTTTGAGTGTAACAAAGTTCGTAGTTTATTTTGGATAAGCCCCAGAAATTGAAACAAGTTACACATACATCCATCGAATTTTACACAAGGTAAATGAAAATTGTTTGGCGGTGTCAACTTCATCATGCAACTGAAGCCATTAAGAGAAAGAAAGGGGAAGGCGCAAAGGGAGAATCACGAGAATACTGATAAGGCCCACTACCAGAACTGCCCAGTTCTGATACGGCCAAGGAGGCGTGTGTGCTATCAGAAGATTGCGGCGTCTCCACCATAAACGCCGCCGCGTCTCCGCGGCCACAGCGTGTCGGGCTGTGGCGGAGAGCCCTGGTTGCAAAAGGAGAGCCCTGATTGAAAAAGGAGAGCCCTACGGCGATGGAGGGTGGGACGCGACGCGACGCGACGCGCCAGGACTGCAGTGCCAACAGAATCTGGCTCAGTCCATGCTGTGTAGGACAACTGCCTCGCCTGCTGAATGCTCCTGTAGCTCTCTCCCTCCCACTATAAACAAATATTTTCCCGTTGTACTAATCTCCCAATCAATTGGTTATTCTGCGGGGAGCATCGTCGAGCATGGTGACTGCAAGTTTGTGGGTTTGCTGGTGGGTTGAGGTTTCCGGAAGCCGGTCGACGAAAAGGGACTGAGACGTGGTTGTTCTCGAGCTTAGTATTGTTTTGGGTCTTTGGAAATTTGGGAGGAACTGGGTTGGGTTGAGTCGGTGGCGATTGGATGCGATGCAGATGCATGAGTTTTGAGGTTCGGGGAGGGTTCGCGGAAGATTGCAAGGCGGAACGGGATCGACCCATAATTTGGCGACGGGTATTTGCGTGTGGAGTCGGGTGCCATGGAGGTAAGTCGTGGGTTGTGTGTGGCTGTGCGAGGTTTGTTTGCGCTGTGTGGGAGTGTGTATTTTGGAAGGGGTCCGTTGGAGTTTTCGTGTAGTTGTTGCGGTGTGGTGCCCAAGGTTTGATTAGTGTGGGCGTAGAGTTGGAGCTCGTTGTGAATTTTTTTTATGAAGAATACAGGCTCCTTTTTTCAAGTGTGAGCTGAATGTCAGCCTGCTGCGCCTCTTAGCTCCACGATTGAATTATTAAACCTTGGAAATTGTTCGATTGGGAACCTCGATCGTCAACAGAACATGAGGAATTCACGGTCCTGGAAAACGAGGCAGTTTTAGTTGCGACTTATCATAGCTGTGAAGTCTTGAAATTATCATTTTCTTTCACAAGGATGAGCTGCAATGAACTGCCAAAAAATTGTTCCGCTGAGAGAACCTCAAGAAAATTAGTCTAGCGCATGCTCGGGTCTGCAGAAACTAATGGGTCCCTTGCGAATGGTACCTGGGCAAAATGGCAGCCAGCTAGGTGTCGTCGCTTTCATTTTCTATCATATACTGGTGATTTCCTTTGGTTTTAATTTACCAGATAATGCACTGCTTACACCAGAAACTGTTAAGTAGCGGATCAGGAGCACTTACAAAATTTTCCGCTGCAACAAACCGAGACCCGTTTTATCTCCATACTTCAACGACTGTACCACGCCTACATCGCGAAAGAACACAATCGAGATGCAAGCAGTCTACCAGAATCACAGCGCAGTGCTTCGAGAAATCGATTGCAGCAACTCCCAAAACATGCAGAGCACTAGATAGCGCATGGAGCTCAGGTGGAGTCTTGAGAGGAAGGCTGGTTTCGTTCCACCAGCCAGACCGGGACATTCCTGACACAGAACAGCGATCGGTGAGGTGTTCGTCAGCAACGGCTGGGGTCGACGCATTTGGATCGTTTGGCGAGTCGGAGAATATTGCACGAGGTTTCGGAAGTGGCATTATGAAGGACATTGAACGTCGGCTCCCGCAATACGCCACTGACTTCACGGATGGACTCCACCCCAAGGCTTTGAGTGCGGCTGCGTATATGATCTTCGCCTCGCTCGCCCCATGCTTTGCCTTCGGCGGGTCAGTGGCGATGTCCTGGCTAGATTTATGCTTGTTAGTCTTTCCATGGCTTTGCAAGTGAATAATCTTATTGCTGAATAATCTGGGTCTTGCCATTTAAGAAGAAGGAAAAACATATCTGACGACTTATTTTTCTTCTATTCATGTTCAGGATGATTTCACGATTAACAGCTTGCCATATGGGGCTTCTGGAGACCATAATAAGTTGTGCAAGTGCGCACTTTTCCCCTTGTAATGCCATCAGTAGTGCTGTGTAATTTGACAATCAGATTGAGATGGTGAATTTTTCAGGAGATCCTACGAATTCAGCTTCCAACCTCTTTGCAACTAAAGATCTCAGTATTTGACCCTCTCTTCGCGTCGTTGTCTTTTTGTTTCTTTCTGTACACAATGCAGTATCAGGACTCATCTATACTTCATTCGCGGCGCAACCTCTTACTTTGCTTGGCCCTACCGGCTTCATGGTTGTGATCACTGGTGCTTTGTATAGGGTAAGTCGGTCGTGATGGGATTGATTCATTTTTGGGCTTTTCACTTTTCTTCAATTTCTTCAGGTTATGTACTGAGCTGTTTGACGTCTGCGCTTGCAGGCAACTAAGCAAGCCATGTTGCCGTTTCTTCCTATTTACGGCTGGGTCGGTATCTGGTCTTGTGTATTTCTTCTCGGTCTAGGAGCTATGGAGGCCAGCTCAGAGGTAATTTACTTTGCGCAATCGTTTTAGGGTTAAATATAGCTTTTGCTACGGCTTCAATATTACCATTGAGGATGATTCCTTACTGAATTGCGGGCCTATGCGTGAAACCCAGTTAGTCAAGTACTTGACACGATTCGTGGACGAGACATTCACAACGTTTATCTCCATTGGCTTCATGATGGAAGCTTATAAGGTTTGTTTCAATAACTTACGATGTCTAACTGACGTTTTCGATTCACAACAAGTTTCTGCGAAGGGGTGTTGCTACTTTTCCTCCCATTACACATGACACTTAGCTTACATGCAGGGTGTTTCAAGTCTGTATAGCCCCGCCAGCTCTTATCCCATTGAGACTGCGTTTCTGTCGTTTCTTCTGGCCGCTGGAACCTACGCAACTGCTAAAATCCTAACTCAGGTTGCCAACCTCATGTCCTCACAGAATCCCTGACTAATTTCGTTTTATGTTTGTTTTGAAATGGACTACGTCCTTAATGAGTAACCTGTGTTGCCATTTTTCCATCATTTGTTCATGCCAAGGCTTTACAATTGAAGTTTTAATTTACTCGTGGGTTGGAAATGTCCACAGCTGCGAACGTCACGTTTGTTGCTGCGGCCATTTTCTGGCGTTCTTGCTGATTTTGGGGCTCCATTAGCAATCTTCCTTATGTCAATGGTGCCAATTCGGTTCTTTCCAACAGTACCTCTACCGTTAATGCCAGCAGCATCAACGATAGCATCAACCGCAGGCCGTCAGGGCTGGCTTGTGCCCCTTTTCAGCATACCTTCTTGGGCTATTGCTGCATCAGCTATTCCTGCAGTTTGTGTCAGTCTATTGATTTTCCTTGATCAGGTTCATTTCCCCCCTTATTAATTACCTGCTTTCTAAGATACTTGAAGGATCACAGGCTGCTTGTTTCCCTGACCGTACTTAATTGGAAAATGGTGCAATGCATGCTTTTATCTTGTTGATTGCCAAGATTTGCTGACCTCTAGGGCGACTAATTGATATGCTGTGGAAATCTGCAGACCATGACAGCCCGTCTTGTAAACAATTTTCCCTCTCCTCGACTTAGAAAGAGCGCAGGATATAATCTTGATTTGGCTGCAGTTGGAGGTAAAATCCTCATCGAAGCATCACGTATCAAGTCTGCAATTGCAATAAGAATGACATGTTATTGGGAAGCGACTCCAGTATATGTGTTTTGTTTTAAGCTCTCGTATACAAGATGCAAAGCATTACACTTTTCTTAATTGCATCATCCGAAGCTTCATCATCAAAGTCATAGGCTGTTATATTTCTATTCGATAGATTATTCCTCAGGACATTGATACATCATATGTATGCTCTGGCAGTGACTACGGCAGTAGCATCTTTACTCGGATTGCCTTGGATGGTGGCCTCGGCTGTGCCGTCTTTGAACCATGTCCGAAGCTTAATTGTTCCAGCCAAAAGCACAAGTGCTAGGTAGGCCTTCCACATCACTGCAAATCAAGTTGAGGTGAAATCTCATTTAAATTGTAAGTTTTCAGTTTTTTCAGAACAAGGATTATGTGCACATCGGTCTGGTACTTAGAGTATCTTTGATAGTGCTTCGAGGTGTGTCATAGAAGCTTTAAACTATTTATGAGGTAGTAAAAATGGTTCAGTTAAAAATAAATTGAAAATCAACAGAGTCTCTGAGCTTAGATTCTTTGCAACAGCGGAGACGAAGCCACCAAGGAAGAAGAGAGTGGGCCTCGTGTGCTGGAAAATCGTCTTACAGGCCTCATGATCTCTGTAATACTCTTGTTACCCCCCTACACTTGCCTTTTCCTGCACTTCATAATTTCGATTGAGCAAATTATTAATTTGAGGGCTGTCAAAGATGATACAATTATATATTCTTAAGGTATAACTCTCTTGTTTATGAGTGCCTATCTATTGATATCAGTCATGCTGACCCAAGTGTTTGTAGCACTCACTGTTAGGAAAGAGTAGGACTTGATTCTTGTAGGTTTTGTAAAGGTGACATACATATATACATACAGATGACCATCTGGGTGGGTTGGGCATGTGCTGACAGGCGGGAGTGGGAGCATCACTAGCGTTTTGGCCACTTCTGCGACGTGTTCCACTTCCGGTATGATCCCTGGCCATCTTCAACAGCGGCTGATTTACTGAATACGATGAATCCATCCACTTACTAACATTGACATTGTATTCATGTTTCAATTCTATTTTTATACCAAGAATTCAAGGGCATGAAACTTGCAGAGACGCTTATTAACATATTTGCTGGGCTGTGAAATCAGGTCACTAGCGGTCTGTTTGTATTCATGTCATTGAGCATCATCAGCAGCAACCAGTTTGTAGAAAGGCAGGGACCTCTATCTTCTGTCATGTTTGTCTCAAATCATTTGATGCTGCTGAAGTCGATCCATATAGCAGGAAAATAATTCAAATAAATCTAATAAATTCACTAAGTGCGATGTTTTGTAAATGTACCTGCATCTATATATGAACTAGTTTCGATCTAAAAGTGTTGTTTATTTATTTCAGGGTCAAGCTTTGGCTATACCACCCGGATCTAACTCCAGACCACGAATTCACAAAGGAAGTCCCCAAACATGAAGTTCACAAGTTCACTGCGCTTCAGCTAGCTTGTCTTTGGGCACTGTGGAACCTAAAGGAGAGCAAATGGGGTAAGGCACAATTTGCCACTCGTAACATGCGAGTCTTTCGAGTGTAGATTTTTCCACCCATGACTAAAATTGCACATCATTGAGTTTCTCATTGTGTTTGAGCGCAATGGTGATTGCCTCTTCTCTGGGTCAGCTGTTTTACGTCTAGTAAACCTGAGCTGTTGTGGTTACGCAGGACTTGCATTCCCAGTGGTGATTCTAGCGCTTGTACCGATCCGAAACATGTTGGCCACACGGTTATTCCAAGCGCAGCATTTAGCTATCCTTGATCCGAAGTGACCCCAACTCTCGCCCTGCCAATTTACTCAAAGATTTATGGGAGCTAGAAGTTGGTGACAATAACAAATGTGAGCAGCAGTGGAACAGAAATAATCTGCCTCACATGCTCACCGGCTTTGAGTTGTAGAGTAAGAAATTAAAGCGTGTCAAAAAACAACGCAACCTAGTGACAACATTAATGGTAGAATGCTGAACTCACTATCAAGTATCGTTTCAGTAAGTATACATGTACATTATTCTGTTTCTATTTGAGCTTTTGGCTTGAGCAGTGCTTGGATTGGACTTGCTTGCCTCTTGGTTTGCATGGGTTCAACGAGGCTGTGGATAGATTACATGTTAGTTTAAACAACTACCAAGTATAGCACATCTGTCGTTCATTTGGTGAGGCATCTGAATCATTAAAGAAAAGAATAAAATAAAATAAAATAAATAAATTGAGTTTTGATGATTTGAAGATGTTTACAATTGAATGGGTGCTTAATTTATATTATTATGAAATAAAGATTGTGATGTTTTTAATACTTTAGTAAATGAATATTAATAATCTTTTAAATGTATTTTATAACTTAAAAATTGAAGTAACTCTTAGTTGATGGAATAATTTAATTGACATATCTAAAATGATCTACATAACAAATGCACGTTTTTAAATATAAAATAATATTTTGGGTTTATTAAATTCAATTAATTTATTTTAAATAATATATAAATTGCCACCTGACCTAGTTAATTTAGCAATAGGTCTAAATCAATAGAATTCAAACAACAAGAAAAATCTAAACCAATAAAATCGAAATAAAAAGCTCACAATCAATTGGATATACCTAATCTATACAAGAATGAAACCTTCTAAATTAGATTCAAATTTAGATTGTAAATATAAAGGAGGTTAGAGATATTCAATCTATTTAAAAATCAGATATCTATGATAGAACAAATTAAGACAAAATAGCAAAGTAGCCATGTAAGAAAATGGTTAGTTGTCATAATTAAGTAAAAGTAGTACAAGTAGATAACAAGATTCTATTAAAAGACTCTCTTTGTCTTTGTAGTTCTTCTTTTCTTTGGTATTTTTTACTTTATTTTATAAAAATATTATATTCTATTTTGATTGTTTATTATAGTTTTGACTTGATATTATTTTTTCTCTCTTTGTATCTTTATGTATTAATTGAAGTGAAGTTATTTTAATCTAATTTAATCTAATAAATTGAAGTAATTATAGTAATCAAATTCAAGTAATCAAATTCTCTACAATAAAGAATTTATTTCAAATTAGTCATTTTGGTGGAATTATATTGAGTATATTGTAAAATGATGTCAATTCAAGTTAAATGTGTTCAAGAGCTTTTTTGAGTTGACAATTGGATTTGACCAAATCATTTAAAGAATTCTACAAACTCCAAACTACTCAATTTTGGATTAATAAAGTGCCATAGAGAAAAGAAGAAGAATATTGACTCCTTTAAGTGATTGGTTTTTGGAAATAAGTGTCTTGCCTTCATCCTCCAAAACACAGATTTTTACCAATATTGAATACAATCCTTTATTTCATTTTTCTATGAAGATAAAAGCCTAAAATAAGAGCTTTTGAAAGAAGCTTCTAGAAATGGTGATCTTCACTTTTTGATTAAATAGACAAATTGTAATGCATTTGGATAAGATTTCTAAACCATTTAGTATTACTTTGGAAGATTCTCTTTCTTCTCTATATACATAAACTTTGTTTCTAGCCTCCTATCTTTACAAATAATTGATACATCAAATCAAAATTTAAGATTGGTCTTTAGTTGTTATTAATAGAATACAAAGTTAGAGTCTATATTTCTTGATTACTAGAATCAATGACTAAAAAAGGGTCCTATTGAATTAGATTTTTTCTACCAATTGGATATAAGCTAACAAATCTATAGACTTAAATACAAAGAAGTAGATTGCCAAATAAGATTGTTAAAATAATTGGTTTGGATTTAATAAGTTAAATTTCTAATCATAACTTCTTACTGACATTAATGAATATTAACTACAACTTGAATACTCTATGTTTTGTATTATTGACACCTCTCTAAGTTATTAATTTGCACTAGATTTTAGACCAATTAGGATATTGAAATCAATGATCAGTTTGGACAATGTAGTTAATTTTTATTAATTTTTTTCTTTCTTTGATACAAATTCTTAAGACTATTAGCAAACCTAAATGAGAGATTGTTAGCATTAAACACTAATACTAATTAGTTATTATTGAACTTCCTATCATCAACATCAATCCACTTAATTAATCTTAGTAGGAATAGTGGTTACTAATTGATTCATCTAATTTAAAAGAAAATCCAATCTTTTTCTTCAAAAAGAATTTCTTCAAGATTGATTTAGTGGAGTCTAGTGAGATTACTATCAATGTGGAAACAACAAGACAAGATTAGAATTTGGATAAGGTTAAATAAGTAATTTTATACTCATATAGATGGTTTCAAGAAAAATCAAGATTTATTTCTAAAAATATTTCTTTGAATACAAATGCTAAGAGATTCTTTAGGCTTTTTGCTCCAACTAGAGAAGAGATCTCTAGCTAAATCTCATCCATTCATTTCTTACCATAAATCTATTGTGATACACTATGACCACCATCACTCGCTTATTATTTGCTTGTTTTTCTATTGTTTGTTCTTCTTGAATCTATTGTGCATTTACAACTATCTTTTTAATTCTAGGACCAAGATCCTACGTCCAAAAAAGAATTTGTTTCATCTAGATCATGATCTTCTTCATTATGGATGTTGACAAGTGTCATAACAATGACTTAGACTATGTTGAAGTGTATCATTAATGTGATTGCCATTACAACTATTAGACTTCTAACATTGTAGACAATGATTATTTTATGGCTCATCTTTTCAACATGGTGAGATTTTTGTAATAATTTGCTTCTCTAGCTATTTGTTGGATTTTATTGTATTGGCAGTTCACACTTTTCAATTGCCTTAGGTCTCTTTGGAATCCAATTTTAATTTTCCACCAAATAGAATAGTAAAAGAGACTCCTCTATTATATCCTCTATTATATCCTTCTATTACATCTTCCTTCTATATAATCTCTTATGCTAAATTCTTGGTCCCAGGAGTTCTAAATTCCAATGAAACTCATCCAAATATATAAAACCTTTGTTCAAAGAATCCAATCTCTTTGGATTCTAATACTGATGAGTTTGGCCATCAATGGCAATCTATTCTAGGACTTGTCCTTCATTAACTTCTCATAATGTGGTCTTTCTTCACTACAAACCTTAGCCACCATTCTTATTTTTTGAAACACTAAATTTTTAGACATTACAATTTTAAAAAAATAGATCACCAATTTTTTGAATTCAACTTTAATATACCAATATTTATAGCTATTACAAGAATGGTCTAAGATCCAATCAAGCTTAGAATGTCATCTATGCTTGTCATTGGCCATTGATATTTTTTTAGCTAAAATTTGATTTAGATTTATTCTATAATAATTACAAAAAAGATAAAGAGAATACTGGATGCAAACGAGGTTTGAAGGCGGCAAGGACGAAACAACACAAATCGCAGGGTAGAGTGGCTAGAAGTGGCAACGGCAAAAAGAAAAGCTAATTTTCGTGGAGTTGCATGGCGTCTCGGGGTTGTAAGTTACACACGCCCATGTTGCTCAACAGCGGAAGAAGCATTCTTCAGCACACCGAGGCGTTCAAGTAGGGCTGCGGTTATCAGGAATATGAACTCCACAGCACTTGCTGTGATTATGCCATAACTACGTTGCATCCTCTCATGAGCAGGAAGCGTTGAAACGCTCTCAATGCACTGTCGGAAGTTCTGTCGATGATTTCACCTCACCTCATTCCTTGTAACCATGGGCACCTGATTAGTTTCACATCGGATCAAATGCTTTCAGTCATTCCAAAACTGTGCAGATCTTGAGAAATCAAACTGTTCTAACGCAGGTTGTTCCCATCCTTATCCCTATTCAGCGATTTAGCTATTCTGTGATGTTTTGTTTTGGTGGCAGTTGATTATTCCAGAGAAGAAATGGGTCATCTCTGCCGAACCGGCACGTTCCTCGTCATGACGCGTGGTCAGGGTAAAGGTGAAATAATCGTGGAAGTTGAGGGCACATCAATAATTAATGCTACTGGAAATGTCGGTGAAGAAACAATTCTTGAGGATAGTGTATGAGTTGCTGGCAACCAGCGGTATAGAACTTTGTCGTTCATGAGGGATAAGCGTGAGAGGTAGAAAGCCTCTGACTGATTGAAGCGTACTACCGAATGCCTGTGGCGAGAACTATTGAAACTCTCGCTTACGGCATTCAGCTCGGCCCAATGCTGACTGTACAAGATTTGGCACCGTCTACACAAAATGACCATTCAATCCCTTCCCTATAGCATTGTCCAATCAGTTCTGCAATCTTGTCAGCCTAGACACAAAATTCATCTCCATCCAGTATTCAGCTAACGAGTCCTTGTTAAATCACACAAATTCACCGCAGATCTCGGTCGAGTTCAATCTCCACAAATTAAATAATATCCATCCTCCCGATGCAACAGGGGGTCAATTTCAGGCACTCAACTACTATGTGAGTTAGGCAAATCTCCTCTTGGGGTTGAATCCCCAAGATTGCTCTTGATCAAGTCCTAGGGCGGTTCGTCGCCCTCCTCAACCCTACCTCGGTTCATCTTCTTCTGTGTCACAACACTTTTTCTATTTTCAGGGTCCATTTCTCCAATCTCCTATGCAATCTCCTGCCATTTCTCTCACAACTCCTGCATCAGCTCATGAAACAGTCCATACTGCCGCCGCCGTGCATTTCAACATGGATGGTTTCTCCAGCTTAACGCAAGCCAGTTGCACCATGTCAGATCCCTTTCGTGCTACTCCCAGATCTAGATTGCGCTTGAGAGGGCAAAATAAATCCTAAAGAGATGAGAGATTAGAAAACGGGGGTTTAAGCAGTTTCTAAAGGTGATCAACTACGATGCGGATAAAGCAGATCGCACGAGCAGAGGGACCACCAGGAATGATGCGCCTCTTGCCCAACTCGGTCCACGAGTGGGCCACCTCGCAGCTCTCTTCCTACCGCACAAGATTTCTAGCCCATAAAGCTCAAAAATCTCTGGCGCACAAACATCTCTGGTTCGCTTGGACATGCCAGGAGCTCATGAAAAAGCGAATCCAAGCTGTTTGCTTCGCCAGCACAGCAAGGTTGCGGTGTGTAAAGCATTGTTGTCTCTTTGTAATACCAAAAAATCTCCCCACCAGGAACTTTCGAAGCCTCTGAGGCCACATGGTGCGGTGGTAGTGCGATGACCGGACCAGCAGGTATTTAGATCACCATATATATATATATATATATCTATATCTAGTGTGGAAAGAAGGGCGGCGCATCACCCTCGTAAATGGGAAAACTCTCATCTAGACAAAGTGAACTACATTCAACCAGGTCCGATTGACTTAAAATTGTATGATTATTATATATTCTTTAATAATTTTTCATTAAATTTTCAAGAATTTTCTTTGCAGTCTGTTATTGTATCTTGCCCAATGTTTTTATCGGCAGCCTGGTCCGAGATGCAGTAGAGATTTCAGAGTCACCATTTCAAAGCATATTAGATAAGTTTGAGTTCTTCACAAACGTTGGACACCGCTTTGTCATGAAAAACATTTGACAATTCTATATCGAAGAAGCTAGTAGATGTTATTTAGTATGTTAGACAAATATTGTGCTGCGGTAGTTTGACAAGTTGTAATCATATCAATTCTTGTCATTTCGTTGAATAATCTCACTGCAGGGGATAAAATCATATATTAAATTTCTCTTACTGCCAAATGGGGTTTTCTTCCCAGGATTGATATCTGTTATTTATGTATAGTAAAGAAAGTATGCTTCTTTTGTATAATGGCTACATCCTGGTGAGGAAGCTCTTTATGCACTGTTGTTTTTCGATAGGTGGAGATTGTAGTTAGATACTTTCAAGAAGACGTGAAAGTAAAATACAGACGTATGTTAATAACCTGAGAAGATTCTACAGTGATATGGGTTCATAATAAAAATGTGTGTATCATGTGCAGATAATCCTGTGTTCAGTGCTGAAGAGTTGGAAGAGATGTGAAAAGAAATTATCAAAATTGAAATTATCGTCCAAAAAGTATATGCAGCAACACTGGAACATTCTATCAGATGATGATTCTAGACTTAGCAACTCTTCCCAAATATATGTACATTTTCGCCTTTCATAACTATTCCATTCATTTCTAATCAACCAGTGAATACAAGTGATCAATACGCTACAAATGATATGGATGAAACGATGAAATAATCGTATTACAGACCCTCGTTCTATCAGCTTGGATCTTATCACTGGTTACTCTCGAAAATAATAAATCTAAACGCACATGCACTTCGATTTATGATGAAATCCCTCAAATACGTTACACTTCTAAAAAAATTCCAAAACAGCTCTGTGAGTGAGGATTTCCCACCAGCTACCATTACACTACAACTTTCTACAAGCAGAGCGAAAGGACAGCACCGCTTCACGATGAGGAAAACTCTACTATGTACAAAATCCCCCACTCTCCCTCGCAGATTGTTTCAAATTCACAGCCTTGACTGTAAGACAGTTACAGATACACAATTGATGGAGATTCTGACAAGAGACTCAAGACTATCCACTGTTATTGGGAATCTTCAATGGGGAGTTTCTGCTCTACTGCGTCTCCAGAGCTTAACACTGCCACTGTCTCTACTTCACTTATTTCCATTCTCTGCTGAGCTTTCTCGTTGGCAAATACAGAGAGAATAGTAACCCAAAGAATCTCCACACAGTCTACCCACAGCAGACGCTGTTCGACGGGAACCAAACCATACGTGATAAGATGCGCAAAGGGCCACAGCTTCCAGCCAGCCTGCAAGACGCGTGGAAATTGTCAGATTGAGAAAGTCGGTCACATGAAAGCGAAAACATTCAGCAAGAGTGTGTACAATAATAATATGTGCTATACAGAGAAGGCTTATTATTATTATTTTTAAAGTTCAAGAAAATGAGTGAGAGGCCTTACCGTCAAAAGAGGGAAGAATGTTTCTCTTAAATCCTTGAGTATCCTAACGGGAGACTCAAATCGAAGCAATCCTAGAGTTATGAAGTAGATACTATTCCAAATAGCCGACCAGATGGTCTGGTCGAATGCTACTTTCACTGGGACTACCCACCATCCTTGAAACGGAAACAAAAACTGCAATTCCACAATTAACATTGATCAGCCAATCGTAAAGTTCAACATAACAATTTGATAGATTGAAACGAAGATAGCGCGCGGCACGTCAGACATACCAATGCAATATGATCAAAAATTTCTTAGTCACCTGGAGAGATTATCACATACCTCGCAAACGTGATAGTAGTAGTGTGACAAAGAGCCGTGAAGGCAAAATCCAACAAGACCTGATCTCAGAAGCCTGACTCTGCTGAACTCGAGAACCGGTTTTCCCTCTACACACTGCATGATTCAGAACCTATGTTAGATTTATGCCACAATATGTGTACTGTGTGAAAACAGACCACGGCCTAGCCATATAGTAGAAATGCATTCAATCCCTGTCAAGAGTCTATTCATTAGAATACTCCAGAGGAAACATCGATATTACCTGCCCAATCCAATCTCCAATCGAGTACACAACTCCACTGATCATCATCTTCGCCAGAACTGGATTAGCACTAAGAAATTCCTCATACGCATGCCAGTTGTGGAGAGGGGCATACTTGAGAACCTCAAATACAGTCCACCCATGCCAGACATCGTGATCAACGGTGACGGCTTTAGTAACAGCGTACGATATGGCAGCCCCAGCCAAGAGAGCGTTGAACGTCCTATCAAGTAATCTACTTTCTTCATCCTCAGATTTGGTAAACCAAAGCAGCTTGGGCCTGTACATGGTTGCGGTCATGGTCTGCGCCTCGTTTACAGCCATCTCCATACTCAACTGATTTCCGGACCCATACGTGCCACTTCCAATTGGCTGCGGCCTGTCGGTCTCACGCAACTCCACCAGCATCCCATTTGCGCCACTATGCGTCTCTGCGTCATCGGGTAAGGCTTGTACAACAGGAACACCTCCCGAGCTCACAACGTCCTCTTCGGACCAACGCAAAATTTTGGAACAGGAGCTTTTAATCACAGTTTTCGGGGTACCTGCAGCAACACCATCTCCAGGCAAGCTGGAGCATCTGATGGAGAACCCGTCCTTCTTCCCCGCAAAGAATCCACCCTTTCCAGACGAAGAACAAAACTTGCCAGAAGAGACTCTCTCTGGCAACCCACAGCCGCTGAGACCTCTCACACCCCTATTCCTCTGCGGCAGCCCCACGCATGGAGCTCCGAAACCCTGACTTGCCACAGATCTCACACACGCAGGACCAACACCTGCCATCACACGACCAACCACGCCCTATACTCCTCCTCACACTCACAAAGCAACGACACGCCGCGTCTCAGTATGTCCGCCTGCTCAAACCCCAAGTTCGACACCACGTTTCCCGAACACACACTAAATAACAACACAATTTTCTACACTCCAACAAAAACCCTTGCAACCCCGCTGCTTAAGCAAAGCAATCGGTTGCGAGGAACGGAAGGAACCCACTCACACTCCGTTACACACACACACAAAAACACACGCGCCTTCAAACGTTGAACATGAACGTGCGGCTTCCGCCTTAAGAATCCCCGCCCTCTCAGCGCTGCTGAAATCTCCACCCTGCATGCTCATCCACATGAAGCAATCCAGATTGGATCTACTAATCACCCGCTTAATCCCTGATTACTGCCAACCCAGTCAAAACTTACCCCTCCTTCCCCAAGTCGGCGAGGGGCATACCCGCAACAAATTAACCCCTCCACGACGAACGAGAGAATCAGAAAGCGAAGATTCGTCGCGGGAGAACCACACAGGGCATGCGATCCATCCAACGACGCACGCGAGTCCGGCAAAGCCAGGTGAGCATTAAGACACATTGCTTGATTTTAGTGGGGTATCCGATTCCCATCCAATCAACCCCCTGTGATAAATTCGCTCTGCCAGATGTCGACTTGTGTGGCTCTCACAGGGGAGCACTCTGGCCACATGGTGAGGTCGCGGTGCCGCCAGCGCCACAGCGAAAGCGGCAGAGGGGTGCGCAAAAGGCTGGCGGGCTGCGAGTGGGCGACCAAGTTTCCAGAGGCCAGTCGAGGATTCCTTCGTCTTCGAGGGCAATGAATCCAAAGTTTCTTGCACAATCGTCGACATCGACGATGGATATTTCATGCCAGGTTCTTCTTCTTCTTTTTCTTCTGCTTGTGCAACTGGGATTTCGTGACGTCGCAGAAGTATCTTCCCACAAGCTGTGCTCCATGCGAGCACCGTCGATCCCCCCCGTGACTTGGCTTGCGCGCACACGCAATCAGTCCGGCTGCGCCACATTATTTTTGGCTCTAACCAGCGCCGAGGATTCTCGAAACTTTTTCCCCTTCGTGCTGGTTGGGTGAGAAGGATTTCTCGTCGTTTCTTCGGGGTCTGTTGTTATAGCGGCAAATGTATTTGCTCGTTGGCTTGGACAATGCACAAGAATTAGGGTTTTGATGTGGCGATGGGGGATGGATGACTTTGGGTGGTAAGATATTGAGTCGATAACCGTGAAGCAATTGACACCTCTTTGTGCAAGTGTAGGTAATTAAATAGTAAATTACAATTGTAGTGAGCAAAAAGCATATATGCATACTAGTGCATATGTCTTTATATTTTCACACATATGTCTTTATATTTTCACACATATGTCTACATATTTTCACACATATATTTTATAAATTAAAGAGTGTGAGATTTTAAATCCCCATTCTTGTGTTGCATCCGTTCTCATATTGTTGTAGTAGAGAGAGTTTGCTCCAAGAAAGCGCTAGGCCTTTGGCTATCACTAATTGTTCAAACAAGTTGCAAGTTTATAAAATACAAGTTTTATTTATAGCTTGTCTGTATAAAGACATTCATATCAAATACACAAGACTAAGATGCACATGAGTTTCCAAAATGTGAATATATATTTTAAAACCACTTTTATTCTCATAAGAATCCTTTTTCGAAAATGTATTATCCTATAGCTTTCAATCTAACTGTCTAGTTGGACTCAAACTTCTCTATAAATTATCTTATATCCTTAACTACCTCTATAAAATAATTCAACCATAAATTCATTATAAATCTTTGGATATTGCCTAATTACTAGCAAGTGCTAAACATGTCAAATTCTAGGCATCTACACACTAATTCCATCATATTCAACAATCCAACACTCAAATACCATGAATTTTTCATATACAACTTTTTAATATAGTCATCTATACTTGAGGAAATTTTGAGCCAAAAATTCATTCAAAAACTCAAGATATGATCCAAACTGAAATCTCTATGAAAAGAATTCACTAACAAATTCTAGTTCTGAAGCACTAACTTCAACAGTTCTTTTAACTATGTTCTAAATTGAAATTTATCAATTCCTTAATATAAAATGAAGCTCCTCAAGTTAACTTTCCAACACCACCTTCAGATTATTGAATGTCTTCTTATAAGTCTCTATATGCTCAAAAGAATAACAATAAGTATCCAAAAATACACCCTAACTTCAAACAACCATATCTTTCCTATCCAAAATCTAAATCACATATTTTTTTCACCCAAATTTAGTCTAAAAGACAAGATTTTTGAATCCAACCTTCAAACTTTAAATGGGTTGCCTTGCCTCAAAAGGTTTGCCTTGCTTCAAATGGACCACCCTAAAGTGGTGTCAAACTCCACTGTGGTTCTAGACAAAATCTTGAAGCCTATTGAGCATGACTTTTAATCAATCAAAATGAAGCCCTCTATCACTCATCTTATCCACCTACCTGAGATGGCTTAAAAGTCAAAATATTATACTTTTGACACTAAAGCCCATCTATACTTCTTACTAATAAATCCTACAACTACTATCTTTAATTATAAATCTTAAACTACAAACTTAAAACAAATTAGACAAATATTTTATTTTATTTATTTATATTTTATTTACTTATTTATTTAATTTTTAATTATAATCCAAAATTTCATAATATTTCTTATTATTTTTACATATTATATTACTTTCTGGCATAACAATGTTCTCGGTCTTTGTCTTCATTCTCAACCTGTCTCTGGTGTCTTGATCAATTCTAAAATCATAGGATCAAATACCTCAAAGGATGCTTTTGTACTACAATTGCTTGCTGCAACACTTTAGGTAGCAATTTGTTTTTTTCAATCTAAGTCGTCTAATTGTACTTCTTCATATCCCTCCTCAATATTAAAACCTACAACGTTGAAAAAGCCATCATGGATTTGGTTTATTTACTTCGAGCTAAGTAGCCATTGGTAAAGGCAATGATTGAAGTGTTTGGCCCGATTATGTTATTACTCAAAGCCTTTGCAATGCCAAAATTGATTATCTTTGCTTCCATAAAGGTGTTGAACATGATGTTATTTAGCTTCAAATTTCCATCAATAGTGGAGGTCAGACAATATGGTGAAGGTATTTCAATCTTTCAATAATGATGATAGCCATATTGATTTAATGACTCATGTTAAACTTTTTTATCACTTCGGTATTCCTCAATAGATACATCAAGTTGTTCAATGTTTTGTTGGACATGTATTCCATTATTAGTCTCTTAATGACAAGAGTGCAGCAATAATCCATCACTTTGATAAGAATCTAATCCTGAATATGGCCTAGAATTTTAAATCTGTCCACTAGGACTATCTACACACTCTTAATTATTTCACCCTACCAAATTGTTAATCTCTTCATTGCCATTGGAGTACCATTCAAAAATTATCATCTGTATACAATGCTCATGCTACCAATGTCGATGTAATTTTACTCGCTAAAATTTTGTGTAATTTGTGTAACATCTTCTAAGAAAAGATTCAACTCAATCTTTGCAAAAACAGATGCTAAGCCTTGCTGCTCTTCATGTTTCATAAGCATTTGGAGTGACCCAAATCAGTCATATTTAATGATCGAGTTGAGGGTGAAGAGGATGCACAACATATGGAGAGGCATTGTTGCAAGATTTTTTTCTTAATAGTACTAGAAAGATATTACAAGCTGAGGATCTTACAAGAATACTAGATCATACTTGAAAGAAGAGCAGTTGAAAACATAGGTGGAAATTGGAAACATGAAAACAAGGAGAATGGGGACATTGGTGCAATAATTCTTCATCCAAGGTGGGTTGATTTAATAAAAAAATTGGTTACTTTAATATTTATCTCTTTCTTTCTCTTTATCTCTTTATGTGTGTGTGTACATCTATATATATATATATATATATATATACTTAAATAAGAGCTTTGAGTTAAAGTTACAAATTTAAATAGTTTCAATAAGTTAAGCTAATGAATATAATATTTTAATAAACTTTAAAAACATATTGTATTGATAATAGTAATTTTTGCTTGATATTGATGTACTTTGTATAATTTTAATGCATTGAAATATTCTATTAGATATGTTGTCTTGATATTTGATATCTTTATTAATATGAACTCTGCCACACATCTGCCACACATCTGCCACATTCTAGTATATCACCCAATATGTTCCTAGCCTCATTTCCAGCCTCCATTTTTAGTCCTTGTCCTCATTTCCATGCTCTCATGTCTCTATCTCCACCCCCTACAACTATCTTCTTATTTAACACATCTTCCATATATGTTATGTATGAATGTAGACTTTTTGAATAAAAGTTTTCAAAAAATAAAATCATGTAAAAAGAATTGCAAATTGATTCAAAAAACCTGATATATTTATGTGTTTTCATTCATCAATTTCAATTTTTGAGAAGGTATAAATTATTATAAAAATTCATTCTCAACCAAAAAAATATTGCACGACTTTAAAAGATTGCAATACTTTTTGGTAAATATTTTATAATACATTTTTATTACATGATTCTGTAATCATTGCAATAACCTTAAATTTATATATGTGCAATGGTTATATACAAATATGCAAATATACAATAATCTTTAATGTATATATTTTTAATAGTTATATACAAATATAAAAAATTTAAGCCAAATGTAAAATATTTTACATAAATTATAAATTAAAGAAGCAATTTCAATTGAAGAATTATATAAAAAAAATTAGAAGCTTTATTTCAATAATTATAAGTGCTTTGCGTGGAATCATACATAGATTACATCGTTTTTCTAACTAAATGTTAGGTGGTGTAGCTTTAGAAGATGGAGTATCAATGAAATACCATTACTTATTTTGTGCATGTGAGTTTTAATCAAACTTTATATTATTTAAAGAACTACAATCCTCCTTACATCAATAAATAATTTTTACCTTACCTTTTATGTTTTTACCTTATCTTTTATCTTTGTTTATAATGGTCCAAAAAAAAGTTCAAGTTATATTAAAAGAATAAAACAGATGGAATCCACTTACAATATACATTAAAATTAAGAATATTATTTATTTGATGATGTAAATTTAAGTTTCTTGATTTGTTTCATCTTTTATTATGGTTTTTCATTTCTAACACAAATACTCTTGAAACTATTTTTTATTTTATTAAAATTGATTTATTATTCTTACAAATTATTACAACTTTATGTAATAGAGTTTTTAAAATAAAGTTATAATATATCTATATTTTTGTGAAAATATTAA